GCACCAACTGCCCCACCACTACCACTACCGTTGTCGCTACTTTACCATCACCATCACTAACACCATTATCATCGTTGTCGCTACTATCGCCATCCCACCCCACCACCACCACCGTCGCCACTGCCCCCACCACCATTGCCACCCACTATTGATTGTTATTACTTTCGTCCACCACCACTACCCACCATAAATTTTATCTCATTCATATATTTATTACCATTATCACTGTCGCCCACTGTTAACACCACCACTACCATTATTGCTTACCACTACTCATTGTCACCCACCATCACAACCCACCACCACCCATCATTGCCTCTATCACCCAAACCCCATCAAACTTACCACCATCAATCAACATCACCCACCATTGTTGCGACCCATTGTCACCCATCTCCACCACACTTACCACCACCACTGCTATTTACCATAACTTATTATACTATCGTCCAGAAACATTCGTTATCGTCCACCACTGCCATCATCATTGCACACCACTGTCGTCGCCTCCCCCACCATCACCACCATTGTCAACCACCATCACCGTCGCCCATAACCACCTTCGTCGTTACCCATAACTATCACTACCACTATTGTCACCAAAATCCACCATCAGCATCACCATTTTCACCCATGACTGTCATCATTACCACGATCGTCATCACCCACCACAACCATCATCGTCTCCCATCACCACCACTACCATCGTTCACCCCTACTACAATTGGTGTTTAAATTTTTTTATTTGTTCTATGTTTATAATTTGATTTTAGGTATGAATATAAATATATTTATTATTAACAATTTTTTTATTATTCTGTACCTTCAGGTACATACAATAATTAGTATAAAATATGCTTAAAGTAATAGAAAAAATCCTTTTATTACTAATTAAATTAAATTAAATGTTAATTAGATTAAACAAAATGTTACCTATAAAAATGGATTAAATAAAATGTTAATTTAACATTAATTTTATGAAATTTAATATTAATTTGGTATTAGTTTAATAAAATCAAATGTCAATTTGATGAATTAAATGTTAATTTGATGAATGTGAATGTTAATTTAGTAAAATTTAATAGTAATTTAGTGCTAATTTGATGAAATTGAATATTAATTTGGTATTAATTGAATAAAATTAAATTTTAATTAGAAAATTAAATATTAATCAAATAAAATTAAAGGTCAATTTGATGTTAATCTGATAAAATTATAGATTAATTTTGTATTAATTTAGGAGTTTTAGTAAGATAATTATATAAAATTACGTCATCCGTTAGGTATGTTAACAAATAAAAACTGATAAGGGTATGTAGTGATATTTCATAAAATAGAAGGGATGTCAATAAAATATAACTTAAATTCAATAAGTGTTAGTGAAAATTACCTAAAAAAACAAAGCATTTGAACATTGAGATTACAATTGGATACAAGAACACACACAATAACATTTAACTCTAATTTAGAAGTCTTGATTTTCTACACCTAACTAGGAAGGATTTGGGTTTATCGTGGAACTCTTGATTAATCTTATGAGGTAGCTATAATTTCCAGTCATACATATATGCACCCAATAAGTACTAAGATAAATGTTAGTGTGACCCTTTTGTAACATTGTTGTACTTACTAATAGATTTGGGAATATAATTAATTATTTGGGAATATATTTGCGTGACACAATATAATAATATGCCCTATCCAATGAAGTGAAGAACAATAATATCATTTGAAGAATCAAAATAAATGATGTGATACATACAAAGTATATGTGATGTGTGTGCTACCACTTTAGAGATTGACAACCCATAACTTTGAGAAAATATTGAGTGTAACAGCGATACTATGTTATCCCCGTCACATGTAGTTATCATTCACAAAAGAGCATAATAACTATTCAAGTGAATCTCAAATATTACAATAACTATCTCTCTATGTCATTTGGTAACCACCCAATATCTAAAAATAACTACCAAGTAGAGTTCAACTCGCCAACTTATAAATTTATTATTAAATAATAACACCACATAATAGTGATGATGTGATATTACCGTTACATATAATATTTATTCCATAACTTTCCCCCTCTTGGAACGGGATCGCAATGGGTACCCCCTTGGCCCACAAGCTTCCAAGTTTAATGCATTCAGAATTTTTATCCCATCCCCCCCTCCCAAAAAAAAAAAATTACATACACAATTGTACCTAGTCACATATTCACATTAGATACAGATTACAATACTGTACAAAAATTTATTTATGTCCATAAATTTTGATTTGATCAAATTTGTAGTGAATATTGTAGTAAAGTGATATAAAAAATACATATATTATATTTTAATTATATAAAAAGTAAAAGTAAGGTACAAAAAAATTATTTTTTGGCACCACAGTTAAACTCTATACTCATAGACACCTCAGCTAATTTCAAGGATAATTTAACTAGTAATAGAAACACATTGCAAATTCAGATGTCTAGAGTTCGAATCTTAATAATTCCTTAGGGGCTAGATTATGAGGGATTTATTCTTATGAATACCCTAGTCCCGACCACGCCTTTCACTAGACCGACGTGAGAATTAGTCGAAATGCGCATAAGCTAATTCAAATATCCCTAACCGTTGAACTAAAAAAAAAAAAACACTAAGAAAAATGACTAAAATGCCTTAACCAAAAAAGTTATGTTATATGTATATCTATATATATACTATTAATAAAAGTATCTATCTATCTTTATATTTATTTATATATACAATATATACTACTGATAAAAGTACATTAAAATAAAAATAAAATTGAATTGCTATTTTACCCTTGTAAAATATTGTAAATATCATTCTGTCATTTCACAATTAAATATTTAAATTATCATTATATTTTTATATATTTAAATCTCCAAATTATCTATAACATCTCTTTTAATTATCTATATTCTCTATATATAACTATCAGTTATTATAAAATTTTTGATTGACTATATATTATCCTCAACAAAATATTCATAATATATTTACTCCTTAAAGCGTTTAAAAAACTTTCAAAAACTCCATAAACCTAATATTACTTATTTTATATACAAAAATAACTTTATGCCTATATATGTGTAATTTTTTTTTGTTGAAAAATTTAACCCTTTCATTTCTACGATAAAAAATAATTGTATGTATAATTTTTTAAAATTAATTTATATTACATCAGTATAATTCTTGAGTCATAATAAACTTCTAAGTTGTACAAATATTTTATATAAATATATATATTATAGTGTATTTTTAAGTAAAACTTAATTTTTTTAGAATTTTAATATGGTTGATAAATATGTCTTAAATATTATCTCAATTAACTTAACTGATTTTTTATTATAGTAATGTTTAAATATAATTATATTGACAATTACTTTTATTTTATTTAATGAATTATAAGTGAAATCCTAATCAAATGAATGTTTTAAATAATTAATATCTCAAACATCACTAAAAAATTAATCTTAATCACAAGATTCTAAGCAAAAAAAATTAGGACTTTAACTATTTATTTTTTTTATAGTTAGAACAAAGAATTTTGGAAATATACAAAGTTTTCATAATCTTATAATAAAATATGAGCAATGAAAAATTAAATTTGATAAATTTTAGATGATATTTATTTTAGATACACATATATTTAATATATTCTATTAATTTTTGTGTTATAATTACATGAAGGTTCCAATGTGATTAGTATATTAATGATTATATTTATTTTATTTAATGAATTATAAGTGGAATGCTAATCAAATGAATTTCAAAAATTTTAATTTATCAAACATCACTAAAAAATTAATTCAATCACAAAATCGTAAAAAAATAGAATTTTAATTATTTTTTTATAGTTTAAATAAAGACTTTTAGAAATATACAAAGTTTTCATATTCTTATAATATAATACGAGCAATAAAAAATTAAGTTATGTAAATTTGAGATTTTATTTAATTCATATATATATATATATATATATATATATCTAATACATTTTATTAAATTTTATGTATAAAACTTATTGGGTTAATCTCAAATTCCACCATAAAAATTGATTGCATCTCAATTTACACTCTTAAAGAAAAAAAATTTCAATTTGTACCTTTAAAGATATAAATTTGTATCAATGTGCACCTCAAGTTAATAACTGTCAGTTTGTTTTCTAAAACTAAATGGATAAATAACACCTCGACCTCCTCATGCTTGTTACTTAATTACCTAGACCCATCACATTTAAAATATTGCACCTACATCTCTTAACAATCCAAATATGATTAAAAATGTTATCCTAATTGGGCATTCAAATAATTCTGTTTAAATAATGTATTGTATTGGATACAAAAAATATTATATAAATACATGTATTATATTGGACATTCAAATAATAAATTTGATTTTGAATTTTAGAGTATAACGGGCCCACAAAATAAAGAGTGATATGAAGTTATAATTTTTATTAGGATGAAATTTTATTTTTTAACTGTTATATTAATAGATATTAACGACAAGGGATTATGTGTTACACGTGCACAAACGTCAGGAGGTGTAGGAGTAATATTCTAAATATGAGTGGTCCAAATAATTAAGCTACAAAAATAGGGGATCTAGGTATAATTTATCTATTTAGTTTTAGTCTGCAAACTGACGGTAGCTAGTTTCAGGTGCATATTGATAAAAATTTCTATCTTTGAGGGTATAAATTAAAATTTTGATTTTTGAGAATATAAATTGAAATTCGAATAATCTTGTATGATATAATTTGCAATTAACTAAAAATTATTTATGTGTACCGTACATGGTGCTCGTAAAAAAAAAGTGCCTAAAAAGCTAAAAGTCTAAAAGGGTTGAAAGAAAGAAGAAAATCCTAAAATAAAAAGGAAAATAAATGCCAAAAAAAAAAAAACAAAAAAGCCTACACTACACTCCAATACCCCCCCTTTCTCTCTCTCCTCTCTTTTCCCTCATTTGCTCTCTCCCTTGGAAACTTGGCATAGATCATTTCAAAACCCCTCCCACTAGACTTCCCTCGCCACCTTCATCAACCCATTCATTAGAAAACAATCGCAGTCCATTTCTCATCCAACTTCTCTCTCTCTCCATCTATTTTTATCTCTACCTGTCATTATATATTCTCGTGTATACTTATATTTCTATATATAGAGCTATACTTTGTGCTTTATTGAGATGAGCAGTGGCGGAGGAGCTAGGGTTTCAATCCCAAGCAGTGCTCGCAAGACGGTCCAGAACATTAAGGAGATCGCGGGAAATCACAGTGATGAGGAGATATATGCAATGCTCAAAGAATGTTATATGGATCCCAATGATACCGTCCAAAAACTCCTGCTTCAGGGTCTGCCTCTCTATCTGGGTTTTCTCTGTAATTTCATTGAGCTATGTATTCGTTATCTTGGTCTGATCTTGATTTCATCATCACCAGTTGTGATCTATTTCTTCATTATTTGATTTTTTGCTTTTCATTTGGGGGTTGGATTATATATGTATTTTTCTTCTGTTTTCCCCTCGTTTTGGTGTTATTGTCATGTGGTTTAGAGCGATATGAGTTGGGTTTTTGACTGGCTAAAGTGGGGTTCTCACTTTTCAGGCACTTCTTACTAGTGCCATCCATATTCTTAGATATGTTTTGAAAGTTGGCCTTTTGAGTTATTCTACGGCTCCACTGGAGTCTTTTTTTACCATCCTTAAGATTTTTTTTTTCCAGAACTCTTTAGAGTGTAATAAGGATTTAAAAATTGGTGTTCAATGTTAAACAAGAGTTTGGGGGATAGTTGTAAATTCACAAACAATTGTGATGTTGTTCGAGTTTAATGGTCTTGAAATATCTATATTCTTGCCAATAATGGCTAATTATATTGTAAGAAATGTCAAAATTGATATGGACGGTTGAAAGTGATACTTGCTAGGTACTCTTGGGTAGATCTCATCAAAATGTAGAGAAAGTTATTTTTTAAAGTGAGGATTTGAGTAGTCATATTGGAATATATTCACTTGTTTGCTTTGTTCTAGCTTAGATTTTTGCAATTGAGTTTTAGAAACTGGTGAAACAAGAACAAAAGGGGCAATAAGTGCTAGATGATCCCAAATGATTTCACAGGACACAGAGGTTCACATGTATCCATGGGCATCCGGGAGAGGCTCCCCTGTATTCACTGAAGGAGTGTACATTTTAATGATGGTTTTGATGCTTTGGTTTAAGCATATGAAATTTAAATATGGGTTGTTGCACATAAAAGTTTATCCTGTCAAGCATGAGAATGTGGATACAAGCCTAAGGACTGTTATTCTCATTTCAAAGTAGTGGTTAGGCATTTTATTGTGTAATGACCCTTCTCTTTCTAGATTTAACCATTGGTTGAGGGTTGGAGGATTTTATTGGAAACTTATCCTTTCTAACGAAACAAGGTTTTGGTGCTTAGAATTGTTGTGGGATCCTCAGCCTATGATGCTCACACACTGTACTGCAGATATTGACTTTATGTTCCCTTTAACTGTTTATCTTTCACTCTTTGAAAGCTAGATAACAAGTGTGTTTTACTTTTTAACAGATCCATTTCATGAAGTTAAAAGAAAACGTGATCGAAGAAAAGAGGTAAGATTGTTTTTTGAGTTGAGGATGTACCTATAAGTTGTGCAGTTTATACCGGATTAATGCATCAGTTTTGTTACTATGTTGTGTGTTCCATCGTCTACGAAAATGGATACAAGTTTCCTGTTTTGAAATGGAATTAGTTACTGGACACATCAATGCTTTAATTCTCTACAGAATCTAGGAGCAAGGAACTTGGCTAATCATGCATGTAGTAGAGCTGAAGAGAGGAAAACAATCATGATCATAGAAGGTGATTAGTAATTTTCTTAACAAGAGAACATATAATACCATAGTTCAGCACATACTGCTGTTGAATGATGGCAGAGAACATAGAATACCATAGTTCTGCACATACTGCTGTTGAATGATGGCAGAGAACATAGAATACCATAGTTCTGCACATACTGCTGTTGAATGATGGCGTATTCTTACTGGGGCAAAGTAATGGTATGCTTAAAACAATGATGATCATAAGAGCTGGCCAGCCGATTGTCTGAACAAAGAACATAGAATACCATATTTTTCCACATCCCGCCGTTGGATGATTACATATTCTTAATGAGGCTAAATAATGGCACACTCTTCCATAAGATCCCAAATGAGTGTCGAAGTTTGTGTGAGGACTTGTGTGTACACTGGTGTTGACACCCCAATTTGCTGGAGGTGGGAGTGTCTTATTTCATAGTGTGTGTACTCTGACTTCAAATAAGAGTTCCATCGTAGCTGGTCAAAATTAAGAATAAATACTTTTGGTCTTTAGTTTTTAACTGTGCAACAATTCATATTCTTTGTTCATGTGCTGTCAACATGCTGGTTAATCTTGGAACAATTTTGTTATTAAATGTCTTGATGGCTTTCTCTGTAGACAAAGCTTGCAGCCTTGTTTTTTTTTGTTATCTCTGCTCAAATGTTACTTTAGCAGTTCAATGTTTGTTTTTTTTGCAGAACTTGAACAAGGAGTCCACAGAGTCAAGGTGGAAATCTAGCATGCCGGGACGCGGGAATAGGGGTGGCCGAGGGATCAATTCTCCTCATTACATAACTCATGGTAAATCAAGACTTGAATACAGCTGGCTGTTTGGAGTACTTGTTCTCTTGTGTTTTCCACTTGTAGGACTGAATTCTGTCGCATTCACCTGCATTGTTAATTGAACCGAACTTTATGTAATATGTTTTCAACATTTGCATGGAGTACCACCTCCTGTTTCTTGCAATAAAAGACCAAGAATTTAGTAATCGAGGCCTTGTCAGATTGAGTAATTTGACCTCTTTGTTTGCACTTTTTTTTTGAATAGCATAATATATATATATTAGTAATTAGCCGTTGCAACATAGAAATTAGAAAGAGAGGAAACACGCACACAAACACACGTAGGTGAAAGTTTTAACAATTAAAACGTCACTAATGATGTTATATCAACATAGAAGACAAACAAATCAACCTGATGGAGCCCTTACGGTACAGAAAATTCCAATCAACAAAAAATTCAAACCATGCAAACCAAGATCAATAAACAGAAAAATGAGGGGGGAAAACTCAATTACAACAAATTCACATCTAAAAACCGGCATCCCTCAATAGATATCAAACAAATTACTGGCGATATAAGATTAAAAGTCATTAAAGTAGCTCATAGGATAAGAAAACAGCAAAAACTATTTGAATCTCACCAAAATAACTCATTTTATCAAAGTGTAAGCCTTCAAGAACATTCAACCTCCAAAATTGTAAAGAATTAAGCAAATTTAGGGCACACATGCAATCTTGGCAACAATGGACTCCCTCATTTACTTATAGGCACTATAACTAAGATGCAATCACCGCCAATAATGCTCGTCCAAAATAATCTGCAAATCACAACATCAATTGTATCTCTTAGTGCCCGGACAACCCTACAACAAAAATGAAGCAAAAATATAGGTTATCCAAAATTAAGGAAATGGAAAATTTGATTGTTTATTGGCATACAAATCAAACCCCCCAAAAAGGCCAAAACTATAACTTCCCTAGGCAAATGTTTTAAGTAACAAATCTACCAATGTGCATACATAAATGAAGAGAGATCTGCAAAAAAAAACAAATAAAAATAAAGCCAAATAAGAAAAGTAAACCACATTGTGCAGTTTGGAAGTCACATTGCCCCTGTTAGTGAAGGGCCATGATGGACTCCTCTCAGACCCTCAGTTCATAATATGTTTTGTAGGCTTGTATTAATAATACTATGTGATTGTTGCCCAAATCAAAAGGAAGGCATTAGTATTAGAGAAAGCAACATTCTTATTTAGTTATAAATTATAAGTTCTCCCATGCAGCTGCTTCATAAGGATCACAATGGGATTGACTTCCAAAAAGCCATCATACATGAAGCTTTGTTCCAAGCACCATAATGATGGACTGGGGACATTACACATATTAATTTGTTTTACAGTACACATATAGATGAGATGGTTTATGGTTGCCTTTCTTATTGACCAATTGACCATTAAGTTGAGACTATATAAAGAGAACGCAAAACTGACACTGCAATCAAATGTCATGGATGCACTCTAAATTCCAACTCCACAGAGCAACTGTCCATTTCTTTTTTCATTTTGTGAAGCTCAAGTTCGCTTAATAGAAAAAACTAATACAAACTACAATAAACTTTGCAATGAAACTAACAACAAAGACTTAAAAGGTACAATTTACCATGACCAACATGCAAAACCATCTGAAACAACAATTTAGTCTAACCAAGTTCTTGCCACAACCATTACAAAGCTATAACTGAGAATTGAATAGGAATCTAATTACATGACGCCAACATCAAAACCAAGAATAAAAAAATAAAATTCGCAGGGGTACATCAATTTCGCAATGGTGTTACCAAATAAAAAAAAAAAAAAATCAACTCACAAATTTATAGTGATAACACCAAAACTCACTAAAAATCAAGGTGAAATCCACAATCAAACAATAATCAAAATATCAAATTCACCAAAATCAAGACAAATAACAAACACCAAATTCACAGTGATAACCCCAAATTCCCAAAAAACAAACCAGATCCAAAACATGTAACGAATATCCTATAAAGGTTTCCTATATTTCTAGCCAAAACATTAGTTCCAAGTGATCCAAGGTTGAAATGCTTCAGCTGTAAAAATGCCGGTCATTCTGTTGTTTTAGCATCTAAAAATCCTCTAAAGGTGTACAACCACTAATCCAATGTTTCTAACATTGTTTATTACGATATTGGAATACCACATATACATTAATATTTATGCTGAGAATAGCATAGAAGGAAGAAATCGTAGAGGATATGTGGACATAAATTAGACATACAACTAAATCAGAGAACCAACCTTTGAATGAAATGCTGATTGGGGTTTGCTGAAGCTATTGTTGGTTACTTCAAGTATAAAAACCAAATCTTTTACCAAGTACAAAGTAACACCTCCTATGGAATTCATTCCCAGATCTCAATAAATCAATTGTAAGACTCCTTTGCAATTCATTGAGACAATATGTGCAAAAATTGAAACAAAACCTACTAACAAAAAATAAAAAGAAAGAACCATGAAGTATTATAGGATAGGGAACAAACGAAAAAGAAAAGCAGAATAAACAAATATCAGACAAAAACTTTTAACATGGGAAAAAATCAGTTGCATTTGCTATTGTTAGATAATAAACCTGATGGGGATCGTGTAGGAATTGGATAGATATTTTAGATTAATCATTAGAATAATTTAGTATTTATCTTCTAAGTATTTTTTTTAACCTTTAAGGGTTTAGTTGTCTTTTTGATTATTTATTTATTTTAGGATTTGTGATCTCCTTATATATATAGGATTTGTGAACTCCTTATATATATAGGGGATATAGTATTTGTTTTGGTAGATTTTGATTATTGATTATTGATATTGAATTTTTTTCCTAAAAAAAAATACCTAAAAGATAAATACTAAATTATTCTAATGATTAATCTAAAATATCTATCAAATTCCTACACGATCTCCATCAAAACCCCAGAATCAAAATTCAAAAGCAAGAAACTGCTCCACCTACCAGAGAATTGCAGATATAAACTGGTATCTCGTAGATTCACTCTCTCCTAACATTCACTATATTGAAAACTGCAATCAATCGTACATAATGGCAATAGGAATCGATTTGCCAAACTAGAATGCGTAGATCTTCGAGGAATTTTGTTGAACACATGGTCACTATGGTAGTAAAGGGAGAGGCGAACTAGTGCATTCAGGGGATGTATGGCCGTGTGGGTGGGGGTGCGAATCATTGTGTGAGGTTGGTCTGGGTTTGTTTAAGGGGGTGGGACTATGGTAGTTGTGGGGAGAGAAAAGGGTGGTGGCGGTGGGTGGCTGCGACAGTGGAGTTAACCAAATAGCTTTGGGGGGTGTTGGTGGCTTTGTGGTGTGGGGCTGCGGGTTGGTGTAGACGTGGAGAGGAGAGATTAGGAGGGAGGGAGACTGAGTAAGAGAGAGGGGGAAGGAAATGAGAGAACAAAGACGAGGAGAGAGGGAGACAGAGAAAGACAGATACCTGGTGCTGGACTGTGTCAACAGTAGTGGTTGGTCTTGTTGCCCGTGGTGGGTTCCTAGGAAGAGAAAGAACAGAGAGTGGAAAGAGAAGAGATAGGGAGGAGATAAAAGGGTAACAGAGGTGTGAGAGAGTAGAACGGGGCTGTGGAGAAAGGTCGTTGCTCATTGGTAGTAACATTTAGAGAAGAGAGGAGAGAAGAGAGAGAGATGGGGCAGCAACAGTGATTAAGGGTTGGGAGAGAGAGATGATAGAGAGAGGGGTGAGAGATTAGGCAAAGATTGGGGGAGGAGAGACAGAGACATAATAATTGTTAAAGGAAATGAAAAGAGAAAGGGAATTCAAAATTGTTTGTCTAATATAACAATCAAACGTTTGGAAAAGATTTGAGCGTTAGAGAGCTGAATTTGGAAAGGAGATAAAGAGGAGAGACAACAATTTTTTGGTGAGAGCCTTACGGGGTGATTGAAGGCGTGATTAAGTGTAAGTAAAAATGGAATTTTTTAGGCGGGAAAAAATATTTCAAGACTCATTTTTTATCCCAAAACGATCAGAGCCACTTTTTGTTTTTGAAATTCAAAAATAGCTCTACTTTATTTTATATATATATGTGTGTGTGTACATGTGTCTGCCACTTAAAGTCATGTACTCTTATGTCAGATGCTGGAGGTGGCAAAAGCTCAGCTTTGGGAAAGGAAACCGGAAACAACCAAGTTTCAGAGAAGGGTCCTGGTCCCTCGATGTTGCCAATCTCTCAGGAGACAAAAAACAAAGAAACAACTCCTGCTGCATGGTGCCATAATTTCCAGTAGATTTTACTCGTATTTATGTTGTATTGCACTTTAATGCTATCCTCTTTTGAAATTTGAACTCCGCCTAGAGTTAAAAGTAGTTATAATTTGCAAAGTGTTAATTCTCATTTACATGTTTTTATATTTTTGCAGCGCTTCAACTGTGATAACCAGTCACCCAACTGGTATAGCTTCTGGGAGTCCAAGTGTTGTTGAACATGCTGAGCATTTGTTTGTAGCAAGTGGGGTCAGCCATTCTAACACGACTGCAGCTGCTGACAGTGGCAAGTTGGAGGGACCTCCACCTCTGGAACTCCCTAATTGTGCAAGCAAAAACCCAACCATTGCTTTTGGAACCGCAGATAGAGATGGACTGTGCATACCAAATTCCAATAACTTACCGGATCCTATTACAACCACACTCCATTTTTCGGCTTCAGATCCTGTACTGGTGCCATCTCATGATTCCCGGCTTCCCAGTGTTGTGGGTACAATAAGGCGTGAAGTGGGAATCCAGCGAACTCCTGTTGATCAGATCTCAGTTACCCCTGCCGAGAACAAATCAACAGCTGGTCTGGACTTTGTTATCTTGTTAAAATAAACATACATGTACATTGTGATCCAACATCTAGTTTTCTTCTGTTCATATTGAATGGGCTTTCTTTTGTTGATGTCTGAAATAGCACCTTCTGAGGTTGGGAGCTCTATCATGCAAGGGAAGATGTCGAGCAAACTCCAGGGAGCGGGAAAGAATCAGCTTTCAGAGTCTTCACAGCCTCCATCGTCTACTTATAGTAGCTCTTCTGCTAGTAGGCCTTCATCCAATTACAATAGTCGTTCACAGCAAGTAATTGGCCCACAGAAAGGTAAACAATTGGGCAATATTTCATAAACTAAGTTGAATCATTGTCATCATAGTCATTCTATTGAGTGGTTTGAGTTGACATAAGACATTCTAGAACTAGTAGCTCTTGATTATACTTGTACGATGCACATGGCTTTTCCTTTTAATTCTCTTTCACTCATGTTAGTGTCCTTTTCCTTTTCCTTTTATGTATTATATTATTGAGCCACCATGGATGCTAAGGTCGACAATTTGTTATGAATGAGGGCTATTGAGCCAATATTCTAGTCATTTGTCTTTTACAAAATCCTTGCGTGGGATTTTTTCTAGCAGAACTGTGTGGATAAGAAGTATTATTCAGTGCAGGATCCAATCTCCATTTCTTCAAGGGGCTTTATTGTGAAGAGGCAAATTTTGGATAGTCAATGACATGGTTCGTTATAGCCTTAAAATTGTTGCGACTTGTTTTGCATTGAAATTTGGCTTTTGGAGGCATATGCCTTTGGGGATTGAGCTTTTTGGATCATGTGATGAGTTGGAAATGTTTTATGTCTTGTTGGAGGGATAGGATGAAAGGTTGTCTAAATTCTATGAAAGGATTATATCCTGTATATGGCTTTGGCAAGGATATCTACTATTACCTGTGTTGTTAACTTAGAGTTTTTAATGAATGATCTCGTGGGCATTAAGATACTTCCTAAGGGTATTGTTTTATGCATTGGAGCAATTTGCTTGTTTAAGTCTTGACTGAAGTCGCTTGCATTCCATTTTATGTTGGTCAATACATCCATTTTTTTGGGCAACACCATATCTGTCATCAGTCCAAGTGGTAATCATGATCGTAAAAGGAGAGTATGTGATGGGAGCATTAAGTTAAACACTTTCTATCAGGAAGCTTAACAAAATTATTAGTTTATCAAAGATAGAAGCAAGTCTATATCTCATATACCATTTTCTGCTTCATTGGTGGAGGGCATGCTCAAGTTCCATACTAATTAACCATTTTTTGTGTTTTCTAACAGTGGGTCATAGTAAAGAGTGGAAACCAAAGCCAATAAACCCAAGTCTTGCTCAAGGGTCGGTGACAGCTATTACACCTGAGGTTTCCTCTGTTTCACTTGAAGCTGATACACAATTACGGCCTGCATTGAGTGTGTTCGATTCAAAAGAAGCAACTTCAGATCTGCAAAGCAAGCTGGAGAAAATGCTCATTTCAGCAGGTCAACAAGTAATTATTCCAAATCATCTCCATGTCCCTGATGCTGAAAAACTTGGGTTCTGTTTTGGAAGTTTTGATACTAGTTTTGGATTAAACACAAGCTATAGCAGTGTCCCTGAGAGTGACAAAAGTCCTCCACCTCTTTCGGAAACTTCTGAGGAGATTGAAGAAACTGTGGAAGAGCAGTCCTCAAGGTTTGTCAAAATTTGAATTTCTTTTCTCCTTGGTTCAGATTTTGATGCTATGTAGTTTTTTTTTTATGCCTGAAGCACTTTTGTGTCTTTTAAGCTCTCATTGGATTAGGAACACATACTCGTCAGCTGTCTTATTGATCTGAATAATCTGTGGAGGAAGAATCTTCAAAGATTGGGAAAGATTTTTTTTTTAGATCTTTTTTCTAGTAGGATTTGATTTAATGTTTAGTGTTCCAGATTTCTAATTCTGGCTAAAATAAGAGATTCTTTTGTTCCTTTCCGTTTCTTGGGGCAGGAGAGATTTAATGTACTTATCCTAGCGGCAACTACTATTAAAGGTTAATTTTTATGAATGGTTTGCTGAGTTGTAATTGTTCATCATGAGACTCCTATGTATATCACCCAAACTATAAGCTACCTATGAGCAGTCACAACTTTGTAGTGAGAGCTAAAACTTTATATAATTCAGAACTTAGTATATTAGATTATTTACCTCGTTCTGACCCCAGCTTTGGGATTTCATTTAAGTCTTCTCTTATTTATCCGGCTGACGATTTGACTTAGGACAGTGTTGGTAATTCAGTAGTTAATCTAACACTTGGAAGTTGTCATGATTGGTAGGATTGGGTTTTCTGGAGCCTTTGAGTGGATATTACGGATAGAAAGTGGCATTGGCACCATAACAAGAAATAACATTAGGAGATAATTAAACTGCTTCTATTCCTACCTTCCCTTTCTGGTCAACTTTTTGGATGAGTCGGAGCCATATGAATTATTTCTCCACCCTCGTCTAATCTTTTTCTTTCCTATTGCTATATTTAGCTTGCTTTTCTCTGGCTTATTTATTGTTCACTATTAGGATTTTCCCCCTCTTTTGATTCCTTGCGTTTCTCCATTTCCTGTAGCCCCATTGGAGGTTATGTCAAAAAAGAGTTTGAAATCAAGCCAGCAAACATGATGAAATCAGTTTCTTTGTTTTTGTGTTTTTTGTTTTCGTAATTAAGGGCTTTTCCCCTACAATTTCACTGTTCATTGCTTCGCAAAAAAGATAGATTCACTGTGCATGACTCCAAAAAAGAAATACATCTCTAGCCTCGTGTTTCTGTCCCGTATGAGGTGGAATCTCGAACTGAATGCTAATCTATCACCTTCCAAATAGTCCATTTTTTTTTACAATTTTAACTGGTCATATCATTCTATTCAGCAATCAAAATGCATTGGCAACTGCTGATCAGGATTATCCTGACCATTCGCAATCCTTGTTGCAAGTACCGGAGAGTTCTTGTGAGGATGATGTCTCATCCAGTGTGGTCCCAGAGTTCAGTGAGTCCAAGCAAGAGAATGCTCTGCCCTCAGGAGGCCATGAATATTCAGCGGCTCATACTTCTCCTAGCCAAAGTTTTGGTTTCATGCCACCAATGATTGGGAGCCAGCTTGCACCATTTGAAAGCTCCGAGTCTCAAGCTCGTGATGTTTCTCGTCTTCCAGGCTTTGTTGTAAGTCTATTCATCATTCTCAGGTCTTCAGAACTATTGCTTGTTCTAGATAGAAGATTTTGCCATATGCATTTAGAATTTCTAAACAGCTGTAACTTGTTAAACGCCAGTAAATAGAAAGTGAACTCTCTTGTCTCTTCTTGTTTTGGAATCTTGAGTATTTTTCTTCATATTATTCTTCACTTTTATTTTCCTCCTAATATTTTTCGGCTTTCATATGTACATACTAGCAATAATCTCGTGCCTGGAGACATTCTGTAATATCAAAAATTGAGCAATGATTGTGCAACATTTATATTTCAAATAATAATTTATTTTTTCTTTTCTTTAATTATGCAATTTAAATTAAAGTAAACAAAGAGAGAATAAGAGAGGTAGCGGAGACCAGGAGAGAAAAAATACAGGTAGATGTTGATTAGTAGAGTTGTCTGGAAAGTGTGTTGGTTGAGTTGTCTTAACATTGGGGACCGTGCAGAGAAAATGATGTTTTTGGATTGTACTGTAAAATGAAATTAGATGAAAATTGGACTAATATCAATGCGTATATATGTTTATGTGCGTTGTATGTATTACTGCATTCAGGTTCAACAACCATTTGATCCTGCGAGCTACTATGCCCAATTTTATCGGTCTGGTGCTGAAACTGATGGACGTGTTTCACCCTTCCATTCTGCTGGAGTTGCAATCAAGTACAACAGCAATGTTGCAGTAGTATCTCTACAGACTTCTCAGTCTTCTCAAGAGGTTTGTGTGTATCAAGCACTGATTATTAACTGTGAGCAAAAATTAGAACGTTCTGGAAATTGTTATGCGAATATATCCATGTCATCCACGCAAGATATTACTTAAGGGTGGTGTTTTTAGCTCTGATCATTCTATTACTCGTGCTGGTGATAGGATGGTGAAAGTTTCTGATTGGCATGGACTAGAGAAGCTAATGAATTGCAGAAGGATTTAAAATTTTTTGGGTGGGATTTGCTTAAACAACTACTGGTACAATGATCCATTCTAAGGGACTAGTCTTATAAATCTACTAGTTATTGCCTGTACCTGAAAGTACAAAGTAATAAAAAATGATAGACAATAAACATATTTATATTCGTATCCAAAATCAAATCACAAACATAGAAGAAAGATAAATGAATTTAAGCATCGGTTGTAGCGGAGGTGAGAGGTGGTGGGCGGCAGTGGTGGTGGTGGGAGAGGGTGATGGTTGCGGTCGGCGGCAATGACCGTCGTGGCAGCGGCGGCGACGACGGTGGTGGGGGGTGGCAGTGGTGGGGGCGACGACGACTGTGATGGTGGCGGTGGCCGTGGCAGTGGCAATGGCAGTGGTAGAGGTAGTGGTAGTGGGGGTGGTGGTGGGGGGACAGTTTCAAACACTATTTATTTTAAAGTACTTATGAGAAATAATTCGTAAAAGTACTTTTAAAAAGTCATCCCAAACACACCTTAAGGGTGTATTTTTCCTATTAAATTTGGGGTGTTAATATTAACCGTTAAATTAACTTTAAAGTAAAATCTAAGGCAATCTGTACCGCGAAAAGTAAAAGTCATTTTGTTTATCTTTTGAAATTTGAATTGTAAGCTATTTTATTATATAGATTATTTATGTAACATTGTTGTTATTGTTGTCTTATATTAATTACACATGTAGTTTAGTTATTAGTGTATGAAGGACATTGTTTGCCAGCATATTAGACTTCATCCTGAAATTACTGGGAACTCTTTTGAAAAATGCGTCCTCACTGTGTAATTACCTAAGGAATAAAAATCATAGTCATGTTTGCTCATACTTGTCAACCTTTAATCTAAAAGGATAAGCTGTTAATGGTCATTATTTGTAGTAACAATCCTTCTCCTCCTTCCTCTAGCAGTTGCAGTGGTGGTAAAGACAGAGTACTGATTTTAACTTATTAATCTTATTTTTGTGTCTTTTTGTAATCTTGCTTCATGTCTATCTTTGAAAGGTTCATTATATATAAGTTTTTTGTGTACATTCCAATGGTTATGAGTGCCAAATTGCAGGGTGGGAACTCTTTCATTTTGACTGCGGGGGGCCCAACACCACTTGTGACTCAAGCTGCAGGGGTTATGCAGAGCTCAATAGCTCAGCAACCACTTCCTGTCTTCCGACAACCAACTGGGGTGCATTTACCGCATTACCCTTCAAACTATATTCCATATGGTCATTATTTCTCGCCGTTTTATGTTCCGCCTCCAGCCATGCATCAATTTTTAAGTAATGGAGCATTCCCTCAGCAACCTCAGGCTGGCAGTGTATATCCAGGTCCCCCAGCGGCAACTGCCAAATATTCGCTTTCACAACACAAGCCAGGAATTAATCCAGGAAACTCAACCCACATTGGAGTATCCAGCAGCTATGGGCCATACAGCTCCTCTATAGCCAGTTACAATCCCAGCTCCGCAACGCCAGGTGGAAACTCGGCTTCTAATGAGGATCTTGCAGCGAGCCAGTACAAGGACAATAACGTCTACGTCAGTAGCCAGCAGGTTTGCATGATTAAGCTTGTTATTTCCCATTGAATGAGAAGTCAAAATTTTCAATAGTATGACATTGCAAACTTTGATGAAGGGAGATTGAAAGCACTTGTAAAATTAAGCATCATGTTATTTTTTTCCAGGAATTAGACGGTGTGGTATCCAAGTTTTTGGTTTGGTTTCTTTCCCAGGATAAAGCGATAATTGTATGATCAACATCACTGTTAAAAGAGTTATATTCAGAAATCAAATTACCGCAGATGATTAATTTTTAGTCTTTTTTGCTTATCTGGTTTCTTTGATTTTATATTTGATGAAGATTTAGATAAGGAAAAACCCAGCATTCCATTTTTCAGTACCTGTTCTGCACCATGTCACCCAATACTTATCAGAGCCTACAATGTCTACCCTCTTTCCAACTTCAGTTTAAATTTTCAGTATTTCTTGGAATTGAAAAATTAGCGAGTTGTCCTCCATACAATCTTCTGGCATTACCCCAAGTGTCTTTCAAGTTTTTCCAATGAACCAATATTCCTAAGATTTAGCATCATTAGTTTTATCGGTAACAACAGAATTTACACTGAAAAGCATTTAAAGAAAACCGTTATGATGCCACATATGTGCGTGTGTCTGAATTTCCATATGTATATTTGTTCCTGAATTATTTATGATGTGTTTGTGAATATAAAAAAGAATTTTTCAATTGCGGTGAATTTGATTTTTTGTAGAGCGAAGGTTCGGGCGTATGGATTGCTGCTCCGGGTCGAGATATGTCTGGCTTGCAGGCTAGTTCCTTGTACAACGTTCCTCAGGGTCAATTGGCTTTCACCCCGACACAGGCTGGCCATGGCACCTTTGCTGGGATCTATCACCCTCCACAAACGATGACAGCAGCAACCATTCACCCACTTCTGCAGCAGTCTCAAACCATGGCTGGAGCTGTGGATATGGTTGGACCTACAGGTAGTGTCTATCAGCAGCCACAGCATGCACAAATTAACTGGCCTAGTAGCTACTGAGAAAGGACCTGTTCCAAAACCCAATATTGGAATATTTGTGGGAAATACAGGAAGTTTGGAAGGAAGAAAAACCAAGAACATAACATTGACTCTAGCTGAGTGGATATCTGTGAGAGCAAGAGGCGGTTGAGAAAATTGGCCAGTAGTATCTTTTGATTGCTTGGGCTGAGGATTTGAAAGATAAAATCCTCCTGTAACTGATATCGAAAATTTTAAGTTTATTGAGGCAGGTGCGTGCAAGTCTTCCCTCTCTTGTTGCTCGAATATGGTGATGGGTATACCATTTTTCCATTCACAATCATAAACTGTTTCGATGATTTTCAGCTTCATTAGGATCATCACCGTGAGAATTGAATTTTTAATTTTTAGTTTCTCTGGGTTTCTTCTTTTATTTGGGTCTTTTATAGGACTCCACCAGCCAGAAGTAAGATTAGGTTTCTGGGGGATTTTCCCATTTTATGTTCTGCCTTGTCTTTTATTTTCTTTACATGTAAAGCGAATTTTGGTAGCAAGCAATGATGTACTTGAACTGTTGTAATTTGGTAATGGTATAAGGAAAAGCAGCATTCAATTGTTTCAATTCACTGCTACAGAATTACATTCAATTTTTTCAATGGACTTCGTACAGAATTTACAGTTGAGAATTATATATGGACTTGACTACAGTACTTAAAAAAATTGTGAGTGTTTTATTATTACTGTGATAATTATTTTTACCACTTTTTTCGGTACAAAAAATAATCTCTTTTGTGAGTTTTTTAATCATTTTTATGAGTGTTTTTATTATTGTTGTGTTAATTATTTTTATTATTTTTTTCGATATCATAAGAATAATAAAAGCACCCATAAAATCAGTACGATATTGAATTTTTTTTTTGGTGATACCGTGGGCAACTCCATTAAATCTGGTAAGGATTGTGCGGGAAAAACGGTAAAATAAGGAATTAAGAGAACTTGTGTCTCATGTGCGTTGCACGTAAATAATATTCATATCATACTATAGAATTTCTAAATTAAATATCACCTCGAATTTATAAAAATTATGTTGTTATCACTCGTATTATACTATAGAATTCAAAAAAATTTATCTATTTCCAATGATTCATTGTTCTAATTATAAGGAAAAAAAAAGATAAAAATAATTTATTTTGAAATTCATTTAATTAGGTTTTAACTTATAATTCATTGAATATAATAACAATAATTATCAATATTTTAATTAATACTTATTTTTTAAGGGTAACAGTTAATTAAAAAGTTTCATAAATATTAATATTTATACATTAGATGTTAGGAATAATTTGGAGATTTAAACACATACAAATATAATGATAATTTAGATATTTAACTATGGAATAATAATGTAATATTTAAAATTTGTTACAAGGTAAAATAGTGAATCAAAATTTTTTCATGCTAAGATAATTTTATTTGAAATTCATTCGATTAAGTTTTAACTTATAATTCATTGAATACAATAACAATAATTACTAATATTCTAGTCAATACTTATTCCGTAAACGTAACATAGTCAATTAAAAAGTTTCATAAATATTGATATTTATGCATAAAAAATAAAGAATTAAAAGGAGTTTTTGACCCATCCCATGATCTTTTAAAAAAAAGTCTCAAATAAAGGTGGGTTTCAAAATATTTTTCAAACCCAGACCATTTTAAAAATTATAGTTGGCCTGACGTTTTTAAGCCAAAAGACGTCAATTGGTTTGACGCCTTTAACTTAAAAACGTCAGACCAACTGACGTTTTTAAGTTTATTGTAAGACCCAATATACTGCTTAAACACGTTAGTTGAACTGAAGTCTTTAGAAGAAGCTTCAGTCCAAATGACGTGTTTGTTTTAAAATCTGAACGCCTCAGACCAAGCCCACAAATTCCATATAACTTAAAAGGACTACTGCCTCCATGCCTAAATAAAAAAATTATATTAATATTTATCACAAATTTTGTCATCACGTCAATAAATGTTGCCTCCACATATGCCTTTTTTATTAACTAAAAGGACATTAGTAGAAAATGCTTGGATAAAAAAATAAAAAAATCTTGAATAAAAATCTAATCCTTGAATAAAAAAATAAATTAGTCCAAAATGCTTGAATAAAAAAATAAATTAATATTTATTTGAGTAATTATCATAAGTGACTCTTATCATTTTCTCTCGGATTTTAATGTAGTCCCTAAAATTTTAATTTTTTTAATTTAATCCATCAATTATCAATTTTATTTCAATTAAATCATTGATAGTTGAGAGACAAAATAAGACAAGTGAAAGTTCATGGATTAACTTGAAATTAGATATAAAATTCATGACTAACTATGAAATTTATCATATTTTTTTTATAAAATATTGCAAAAGTATCAAATAAATATAAATTTTAATCAATTTCTAATTAATTTTAATTTTTAAAAATGTTTTGCTCCCTCTCTTTTTGAGAGGATGATTTTTTTTTATGTATTTATTTAAAATTTTGATAATTTAAATATACTATATTTTTTAGCATATGAAACTTAAAAAAATTGAAAACGTATACATATAATTAATTTTTTTTTTATATAATTATAAATGCATACATAAAATAAAAAAAAATTTATTTGTAATGTTGATCATGTCGACATTAATGTTTATTAAGCTGTGAAAAAACATAAGTTATTCAGAATGTGCACATGTTAACAACGTGATTGATATTCAAAACAACATAAAAGATTATCGAGTACACATAAACATGATGAGATAAAAGTGTCAGACGCATCATCGTCCTAATCAGAGAAATCAGAAAACTCAGAATATATATACTACCATTGACATTAATCAGAAATCTTATTCACGTTTCTCTGATTGGGATGATAATGCGTCTGACACTTTTATCTCATCATGTTTATGTGTATTCGATAATCTTTTATATTGTTTTGAATACCAATCACATTGTTGACATCCTTTTTTAACATGTACACGTTCTGAATAATTTATATTTTTTCACAGCTTAATAAACATTAATGTCGACATGATCAACATTACAAATAAAATTTTATTTTTATTTTATATATGCATTTATAATTATATAATAAAAAAAATTAGTTATATGTATACATTTTCAATTTTTTAAGTTTCATATGGTAAAAAATATTATATTTAAATTATCAAAATTTATTTATCGAATGTAATTAAATTTTTAAATAAATAAAAAAAATCATCCTCTAAAAAGAGAGGGAGCAAAACATTTTTAGAAATTAAAATTAATTAAAAATTGATTAAAAATTATATTTATTTGATGCTTTTGTAATATTTTATAAAAAAAAATAAGATAAATTTCATAGTTAGTCATGAATTTTATCTCCAATTTCAAGTTAATCCATAAACTTTCATTTGTCTTATTTTAGTTTCTCAACTATCAATAATTTAATTGAAATAAAATTGATAATTGATGGATTAAATTAAAAAAATTAAAATTTTAGGGACTACATTAAAATCCGAGAGAAAATAATAGGAGTCACTTATGATAATTTAAAATAGGCATATGTAGAGGCAACATTCATTAACGTGATGACAAAATTTGTGATAAATATTAATATAATTTTTTTATTTAGGCATGGAGGAAGTAGTACTTTTAAGTTATATGGATTTTGCGGGCTTAGTCTGAGACGGTCAGATTTTAAAATAAACACGTCATTTAGACAGATGCTTCTTTTAAAGACGTCAGTCCAACTAACGTGTAAAAACGTCGGTTGGTCTAACGTTTTTAAGTTACAGATGTCAAATTAACTGTCGTCTTTTGACTTAAAAACGTCAAATCAATTGACGTTTTTAAAATGGCCTGAGTTTGAGAAATATTTTGAAACCCATTGTTATTTGAGACTTTTTTTTTAAAAGACTATGGGATGGGTCAAAAGCTCAATTAAAAGAGATGTTATGAGTAATTTGAAAATTTAAACACATAAGTATATGATGGTAATTTAGATATTTAACTACGAAAGAATAATGTCATTTTTAAAATTTTTTATAAGGATAAAATAGTAAATTAATTTTTTTTTATGTTAAAGTACTTTTATTAATTAATAGTATAGATAGATATAGATATAGATATAAATATAAATATAGATAGATGTTTGTTCCAAGAGATAATTGAATTGAAAGAACTTGCGACTCTTTTAATATTGCACCATCACTCCTCATCTGTTGTGATTTTATCCATTGACAAAGGAGATTATTCATTTTTTTTTTTTAAGACACAAATATGTAACTTACAATTTTGTCAACTTCAAATTAGAACGCGCTAAACGGCCAATTATATAAAATTATAATTACTATAATAATAAAAATAAGGGTTGGCTAAAAATAGTATTTATAATGAATCGTTCTATGTTTGGATCATGACGTGTTTTAAGACGTGTCGTGTTGAGAAGTCTATGGAAACAGTGTCTTTGTTTTAACACCTGTCGTGTTCCAGCTACTCGAGCAAGGCAAAAACAAAAAAACATGGCCTGCTAGACTGCTACGGAGTCTTTTTTATCAGCCTGCATAGATGTTAATGTTGAAGTCGGCTCATTTGGAGGAAATCCAAAGACAAATTCATTCATGGCAAACTCTCGGATCCATCGACCTCGAAAACTATAAAGAAACAGGCTCCTCGTACTTGATTCCCCGGCCAAAATCTTTGGAAATTCAGGAAAACTCTTGCCATCCTATCATGCTACACAAACTCTTTGGTGCCCGGACACGGACACCGAAGCCTCCTCATGGATGCCATATTCCATCCAAGCTTGCCCCCAACAAGGTCGAGGAGGGATCCTCCTCGGTCTTGAAGATCATTCATGCTGGGGGTAATGCTGAGTGTTATTACATGGCTGTCCCCGCAGTCAGGATTATTGAAAAGTATCCGTCCTACATATTAGCCAGGCCTGAAATTTTTCGTAGGCCATGGGATTCAGTTGTCCGCCCGGAAGAGATCCTCATTCCGGGCCAAAAATTCTTCATCGTTCCTCGTGGAACGGTGAAGAAGCTCAGGCAAAGAATTCGAAAACCAAGTGGAAAATTTTTTGGCAATTCTTTTGAGTCAAAAGCTTCAACGGATGTCTCGGTTGAGATTGTTTCTCATCAAGATGATCTTTCTAGCAGCAAGTCATTCAAATCCAGCATCAATATCAGTACCAAATCCAATGTGAAAATTAAAATTCGGACTCGTCGTGTTCACTTCTTTGGTATTGATAGTAAGATGGATAAAGATTCAGTTTCCTTAGAGAAGGAAAATTCCGAGGATGATCAAGAGAAGACCTCTCGTTCTCTTCCTGATACAAGAAAGAGGAGGGTGAGAAATGCAGTAACATGGCAGCCAAAGCTTACAGTGATCAATGAGACTCAAGGGTCCGAGGAATGAAGCTTGCTTTATCTTCCCATTAAATCAGAGAATGTGTTTGATCTAATAATTCTATTTGAACAGATTAGCTCTTCTATGAATTCTATGTTTTAACATTTCATTTGTTTAGGTCCTTGAACTTTTAAACTCAATAAAAGTAGCAAGCTCTCTCTATTTTCTCTCTTTATTAGGGATATAGTTTGGGCGGGTCGAGGGATTAACTTTAGCCCAACTCCTAGCTATAAATTCTTCAACTTTAACTTTAATCGTAACCCAATCTCAATTCGAGATACTTAACTCGAGTATTGTCCGAGTTGATTTCAAGCAAGCTCAAGTTAAAATCGAGTTATCTAATTTGGGCTCAACAAACAATAATCTTAAATTAGAGTTGAGTCTTTGCACAATATTAAACTATTACATAGACCTATATAGTCCACTAAGATGAAACTCATCAAAAGAATTTATTAAGGGTGTAAAGGTGAACCTTCTTTATATAGGAAGGAGAGATGTCATTTAAGTTGTACTCTATTCATGTGGGACGACAATTCTGTCTTTCTTTTTCTTTTGCTTTTTTTACTTCTTGCTTAAATTCTTTTTCTCCGTAAATCATGTTTCGCTCTCTTTTTAAATAATAATAATTGTAAAATATGCATTTATATTTCATTTTTATATTGTTTATGTATTACAAATATAATAGATGAACTCAGACTGGGTTTGGGTTGAACCTGATCTCATTAATTTGAGTTAGGTTCGACATAAATCCGAACTCTTAATCCGAGTTTTGCTCAAATTCAATTTAGATTAAAACTTTTCAATCCTAACCTTAAAAATCTCAACCTTAACACTATTTTTTTGGGTTGGATTCAAGATTGGTTTAATTGGTCCCCTACTTTTTATTACTAAGAACAATTCAATATTCGAATTATAAAACTTGCGAATCTAATTCGTAGCATGTTTGTTTGGTGTAAGAATTACTAAGTATAGCGCATGAATCCCAAATCCCAAGACTCTGACTCTTTTCTCTCTTAAACAAATTCACCGTACATACAAGTATTCATAAATTAAAACTTATTTGATCTAAACCTCGACAAAATTTTAGTTCTGCGATAATGTATGTAAAACATGAAAAATATAAGAAAATAAACAAACATTTTGTTATATAACACCAGTAAAACGAGTTTGTCATATCAAAATTCATTTATTGTGTTTTATACAAGTGCGACCGGTTTATTATTTATGTCTAGTGATCATATCATTTTGGAATTTAGGAAAAATTGTATAGAGACATAATTCTTTTGTACTAACTCATTGATATGCTGTACATTAGACATTTATCGAGGGACAGAGTCAAAGTTTTTGGGCAAGAACGAACAGTAATGCTAGACTGATTAAATTTTACGATTAAATTTAGAGTTTAAATGACATGACAGTTAATTATTGAAAATTTTTATTAGGGTCAAAATAACTTGACACCAATAAAAGAAATCAAAGTTAATTACCATATTATTTGAGTTCTAAATTTGATCTCAAAATTTAATCAGTCTAACATTACTTTCCAACGAAACCGATCCCCGTGGCTTCGATGATCGATTTAATTCTGAAAATACTATAAAATATTTAATCTAATTTGGATCACATGTGAAGCTTTAAAGCCATCGAAAACAAATTATTTTACAACATATGTGTTGTTTTTTAGAATGACGTCATTTTTTTTGTATAAACCGACACCTATCCTCTACAGCAAAGGACCCGGACTCAAACGTCCCCCCCTTCTCAGCCCCCATGCGCCGGGTGCGCAATATGCCCACTGCCATCCCACTGTCCACGCCACATTGCATCAACCTCTACGCGGAAGCATTGTCACACTGATGAGAGCGCCCTGTGCTCAATTTAGTAGAAACCATTGTTGTTTCCCATCATCATCTTTAATTCCCATATTGAGAAATGAAGTACCCACCTCACCCCACTTCAGAGAGAGAGAGAGAGAGAGATGCAGTTGAATCTCTGTGCTGCTTCTTCAAATACATGAGGTCTTAGAGATACAGATCTTTATATGTATAGCCTTCTCATTCACTTAGCCCTGAAAGCTCTTACTTCATTTCCTGAACTGTCAATTTCTTCGTAATTTTATTCGTCATTCTAAAATTTTCTTAATACCCATTACGTAATCTCATTGAATTTTAGCTGAAACCGTTACTCATTTGTTTCTTTGTTTAGTTTTGCTTTCTGTTTCTCTTTCTATCACGCTAGGACTTCGTTTGGTGATTGTAGTTGTGATTCATTTGGTCTAAACAATGTTGGGTCGATCTTCAATCCCTTTTTCGCGGACCGGAAGTTTCCGGCCGGAAAATTTGGGTCAGAATGCACTAGCAATGATTGGGAATCTCTGTTTCGCCATCTTTGTTCTTGTAGTCGTAATCTTCACTATAATTGCTGCCACTTACGAACCCGAAGACCCTTTGTTTCACCCATCAACCAAGATGACTAATTTTCTCACATCCAATTCTAATGCCACCTTTAGATCTGATAATACTGTTGTTAAGACCGGTGAGGACTTTATGGCCCCAAATCAGACTGCATTTGCGACGTTTATAAATGCTAGTGATGTTGAATCCGAGGTTCTTGATCAGAATAGTCTTGATTGTAAGGGGAAAATTGATGAACCCATTGATTGTACTGACCCGGAGGTGTTTCATTTGATGATGAAGGCTGCTATTGAACAATATAAGGATATACATTTTTATAGGTTTGGGAAGTCGGTGAGGGGAAACAATGATAGTTCTTGCCACATGGCGTGGCGGTTTAGGCCTATGGAAGGGAAGACTGCCGCATTTTATAAGGATTATAGGAGTTTTTTGATTTCTAGGTGGGAGAATTGTACGCTTAGTGTGGTTGGGATCGGAGATTATCATTCGGGTGGGAATGCGAGGAAGCTGAAGAAGAATCAGAAAGCGGGATTTGAGAAGACATCGACGAAGCAAATGGAGAGTGGTCGGCCTGTTGTTGGGGAAACTGTAAATGACTCACTTCCTGTGGTGGAATCTGAGGGATCGTTTAGACATGGAAAGTATTTGATTTATACAAATGGTGGGGACAGATGCAAAAGCATGAATCACTATCTGTGGAGTTTCATGTGTGCTTTGGGGGAGGCTCAGTATCTGAATCGGACACTGGTTATGGATTTGAGTATTTGTTTGTCCTCCATTTACACTTCGTCAGGTCAAGATGAGGAAGGTAAGGATTTCCGGTTTTATTTCGATTTTCAGCATTTGAAAGAGTTAGCATCAGTGTTGGATCAGAGCCAATTTTGGTTGTACTGGAATAAACGGCAGCAGAAAGACAGATTGAGTCTCCATCTTGTGGAGGATTTCAGGATCACGCCGATGAGGCTATCTGAGGTCAAGGACACTTTAATCATGAGGAAATTTGGGAGTGTGGAGCCAGATAATTACTGGTACAGGGTGTGTGAAGGAGAGACAGTGTCTGTTGTTCAACGGCCATGGCATTTGATATGGAAGTCAAGACGCTTGATGGGCATAGTGTCACCTATTGCATCAAAGCTGACCTGGGATTTTGATTCTGTCAACGTTGTCAGAGGGGAGAGGGCAAGAAACAAGGAGCTATGGCCTAATCTTGCAGTAGACACTTCACCTGAAGCTCTTCTTTCAAAGTTGCAGGACAAAATTGAAGGTGGGAGGAATCTCTACATTGCCACAAATGAACCGGACACATCTTTCTTTGATCCTTTGAAAGACAAGTATTCCACTCATTTTCTTAATGAGTACAAAGATCTCTGGGACGAGAACAGCGAGTGGTATTCAGATACAACAAAGCTGAATAATGGGGTTCCAGTAGAATTCGATGGTTACATGAGGGTTTCAGTTGATACCGAAGTGTTCTTGAGGGGGAAGAAGCAGATTGAGACATTCAACGATCTCACTAAAGACTGCAAGGATGGTATCAACACATGCAGTTCAACCAGCTAATCCCTATTCATGAGGTTTTAGTCTTTGATGCTGCTACATTTGGCTCTCCATGAGTATCTTTAGGTACATTCTGTGTTGCTTTTGAAACTTCTGGTCTTGACTGGGAGTTTGGAACCAATGTAGTTTCCCACGAGTCTTGTAATCAAACGAAAATGATGTTCAATTGTTTTATTAGTTGGTATCATGTTATAGTAATAGCTGAACGTGGTGTTCTACTTGGTTTCACTCTCTTGTATCCTGTGACCTGGTTAATGGAGGTTAGGCTGAATCAATTTCCATTCTACGGAAATTTTCTAATTTTATTCCTCAAAGACCATCCTTTCAAACTTATTTTCTAAACTAGTGTTGTTTCTATAAAAGCGTGGTTTGAACCTGCACGATTTCAATAGAAAACCATCAAAACATGTTTGGGTCATTACACTTTACCCCTTGAACTATTACCCTTGTTTTACTTTGCACTTTCAACTATAAAATTTTTAACATTGCACCATAAAGTATCAATTTTATTTCGTATCACTCTAATTGATAACGAATGTCAATTTTTTGATGGTAAATGTGCGTATGAGTGGTCTGTACTGCTATAAGCAACTGCTTATTACACATGTGCAGGTAAAAAATTAAGAAAAATATATATCCATGATTTTGCTCTTCTTAAGCTCCAATTTTTTTTTCTCTGGCCGACAGACTTTTTTCTTCCTACCAACCATTTAGTTGCAGAAGAGGTAAAATAAAGTTGTACTAGGCATATGGTGGAATGAAACAAAATTGATATTTTAAGGTATAATGTAAGAAATATTATAACTAAGGGTACAAAAGTGAAATAGGGGTAGTAGTTCAGAGGTAAAGTATAATTTACTCAACCATGTTTTGTAGACCCACTTTTAAAATAACAGTAGTTTGCGAGATCATTTTGGAAAGGGAATTAGGTTTAGAAATCACAGTAGTTTGGGGGGAAAAGCAGGATGTGCTCATGTTTGTTCTTGAAACATGCCATTTGCTGAATCTAAGGATGACTATTTCATATGAATCTATCCCAAGAGAGTATTTGAAGGGAAAAAAGTGCATCCTTTTTGGAAACGGTTTCTCATCAGCTTTCAATGGCAGTTTGTTAAATAAATCCATCAAAGTCCCCCAAAGTTTAGTGAAAATATACTCTGCCCCTTGAACTTTTTTGAAATTACTGTCAGTTCTAGTTGAGTAACGGTCAACTAACAGAGTTGATCGATATAATGACATGATTAGTTTATCCTTTAGTCAAACCGAAATAACTCTGAATATTGTTAGGGGCTGCCTTCTTACAATTGTAGACACCATTTGTTCATATGATAGTGGAAATGGACTCAATGTTCTTCTTAGCAAAGCCTCTATAACATTCACTTAATGGAACGATAATCATCATGCTTCTTTGCAGACATCAGAACGATATGGTTTCTGCATAAAGATGACACGTACAATTTGAGAAACGAAAAGATAATCATGCAGATATTGTGGAACAACTTATCCTCTTAGCATGGCTTCTCTCTCTCTCTCTCTCTCTTCTAATAAATGCAAAAGGATATGTGGTGGAAAATTGAGGATTTACCATAACCTCCCAATCTCAACAGAGAAGAGTAAAAACCGGGTCTTAATTTTGATACATGAATCAAGCTCCAAAACAACGCCAGATTGATAAGAAAATCTCAGGCCATTGGAAAGCATTTCCACTCAACATCATCTAACATAGCAACATACCGATTGTCGGGTAATTCTACATTCATGCTGTAATATTTTTGCTCATTTTGTTTCGTGTTGGTTTCTTGCCATTTCTATGTCCATATATAAGTATGTATGATTTGAGTTCGTGTTGTGTATTGATTTGAGTTTGTGTTGTGTATAGCCGAATTTATATTGATTCATTTACTAAACGACCTTAACGGATAATCTACTTAGAACCTGAACCATTAAAATTAATTGGATCTACTGTTGATTTTGATAATTGATGTAAATAATTATTAAGACATACACCATAATCTTCTTTTCATGATGACATAAGGGGTAAGCGTTTTGAACGATATTTTGACCTTCTTTTCCATCCTAAAGTTCTGGGTTAGACCAAATATTTGAAAACTTGGGCCTTGAACGGATATCTAAAAACCTTTTGTTTTGATAAACGATGGAAGCCTTAGTTTAAAAACCTCAAAAATTGAAATGACGCGTTATTTCAAAATACGTGTGAAGAAAGATTGGCCAAATCTAGTTTACATGGCATTGTCATGTAAAAATATGAATATTAATATAGCACAATAGTGGACAAAGATTCGTGTAATCAATTCAAATAATTGGAATACGACTTTGTTGAGTTGAATTATAGAGCTGAATCCCTTGGTTAAATTATCTTAAGCGAGATTTCATCTCATGCTTAAAAACAATATAGTTTCACTTGAGGCTCTGTCCGGAAACTTGCTGCCCTTCTTTCGGGTTTGTGATTCATTCAGACATTGTTGTAACAGTGATATGTGAAACTTGTAATTGCTCAATCATGGTATATCAAAAAGAAAGAAAGAAAAACTGTTTGATTAGCTAATCTCATTTCAAATACCTTTATCATGCTGTTCATGCTTATTAGTTTCTGCAGTTCCAGGACAGGATGGCTGAGCAACTAAGAATTGGTGAACAGCCTCAGAAGCCGAAGATAGTTGTGCCACATATATGCTTAGATTCAATCAAGAAATCATCAGAGTTAGCATACTCCGCGCCATCGTCGCCGGTGACCTTAAGGAAAACATCAAGTGTAAGGTACAATTGCCTCTGCTCACCAACCACTCATGCCGGTTCTTTCAGGTGTCGTTACCACCGGAACACTGGCCTGACTCGCAGCAGCATCTCTGTTGGCTCTAAGCTCTCCGAGCTTGCTGGTAAATCAGATGGAATGTGTGATCCCCTGCATGCTCAGTAGGCTGTGATCATTGCCGTATGGAACCTGAAGTTCATGTTCTACTGAGAAGTGTGTGATAATTGCATACTTATTTGTGTCCACAATCTGAGAGGTCTTTCTGAACTTGCTCATAAGAAGCTTGATAGTTTTTTAATTCATTTCAAACTGGTGCATTATTGCATTTTATGTATAATTGGTGTTTGTATGGTTTGTTAATGTGTTTTTATGGAAGTGCTGCTATTTTTCTCTATCCTCAATCAGGCATTTGGCATAGAATACAGTAAATGTTCTTGAGCTTAAATTGCCCAAAAATGTTTATACCAGCATTACAGGCTTATAACAGAAACCCTACCTGTTTAGCCTTGCTCATGAATGGAAAAAAAACAAAAATCGATCTACTTTCATCAGGCATTTCTGCTTAAATTCCTTGACTATGATGAAGTTCAAAGGTCCCACAAAATGGTGTGTCAGCTATAGTGCATGCCCTCATGTTCAGAATATGGTTCATATTCCGGCTTGGGTTCATCATTATAGTAATCGGATGAATTGAGTTGTAGACATGAAAGCATAAAAACTCTAACGGAATTTTCCCCCTCAAATCAGATAAAGAAAGAAGGGGTTCTTTACTTACGAATCAAAATTTTTTTTTTCGTCTAAATAACATAGGGTTTCAAACAAAGCAGCAAATATACTCTCTAGGCATTTGGAGGAAAAAGGAGATTTTTCATAAACCAAATACCCAAGATAGGTGCATAGAACATCAAAATCCTTCCCAATATGTACAATATCAGTTTTGGTCACGAGACCCATCACCGCAAGGGGACGCAAAACACTGGCATAAACATAGGTTAAAAAAAAAAAGCATTCATGTAGATTTCCTGCCCACTACTATGCTGTACACTGAAATTTCTTCGAGGACCATTCCTGAAGAAGCTGCTCACATTGGACAACTATCCTCTTCTTCTTGAGTCATCATGCAATTCCTGCAAAGAGGGCATGTGACATTCCAATACTTCAACCATTTCTCTAGGCATGATTTATGGAACACATGGCCACAAGACAGGTGGTTTATCTTTGCATCTGGTTTGAACTCTGTCAAGCAAACCGAACACTCTTGTTCAGGCCGGTTACAGCCAGACACCGCATCAAACCGAATTGCTGGGGTCCTGTTCTTGAACTCCTCCATGTAGGATTCTGAGGGGCATCCACGGCATTCAATCGAGTTTGAGGGACTATCAAGGGAATACTCGTCCCATGACGCAATACGTATGCCAACCACGTGAAGGATTGACCGGACTATCTCCTTGACAATGCAGATGGAAATGGCTGTATTTACCAAGAGTACACATAGCACTCCTGCGTCAGCTGGAGTTGAATAAGGTGACAGACCCATATTCGATTTGGAACCTAATTAGAGAAGTGGGAGTAATGATTCTTAGCCCAAGGGAGAAACAGATCAAAAGAAGAGAACACAAATAGATAAGTCGTTGAACCACCAAAGAAGACAAAAAAGTAATATTTTCCATAAACGCGTCTCAGTTTGGCAGAATGTACCTTTGAAAACACAAAATACAGATGAAAAGGCTTCTGAAAATTGGTTTATCTTCACAGATACGATTTCAAATAAAGCTTCAACTTCTTAAGTTCTGAAAACAACAAGAAAGAATGCATCATAATCTTTTTGGAAGTTCGTTTATGACAAGTATATTCAACAAAATTTCCAGAAACCGCCAATTTTCCCACAACTACAAAGAGAAATAATTTCTTATTATTCAATATCTTTGCTAGTTACAAAAGCAAAATCAGAGGAACACCAAGTTCTAAAATTTCTGTAATTGAGGACAAAAAGTTTTAGAAAATGCTTTGCTGGAACCAAACAATAAAAGCAAAACTTTTTCGAAGCTTCCAAACACATGCCATTTTTAAGAAAAAAATTCTAACAACACATGGCTAACTTGTTTTCCATGTTGTTTATGCCACCTAATATATCTTCCAAGTTTGCATTCATCTTCTCTCTTTTGAAGACCAAATGCAATTTCTTAAAACGCTACGAATATCATAAACATTAGAGTATGACAAGGAAAAAATTGCAACTAAAGTGGTGCATAAATTTAATAACAGAGCTAGCACATTTAGCTAAAAATATTAACAAATTCAGTCAGCAATCAATGAAAAGATTTGCCAAAAATGACCATTTGATTATAAAATTTGCTCCTTTTTTAGGATTAAAACAAAGCAATAGATGCACAACAAAATTACCTTTTTTCCGGAGGTGGAGTCCTAAAACTAAGCAAAGTAATGGGAGTAAAAATCCTCGAACACAATCGATCTGCAAAGAAAACGCAACAATAAGTGCAGAAAAAGAAATAAAATAGACACAACATCAGTCATTTATCCAACTTTTTTGTTCAAAGCAAAAATCCAACTTTTTTTCAATTCAAAAGAGCTGCTTTCCATTGTAATAATGTTGATATGGTTAAGATCAGAATTTTCCCTAGAACTTCAGATATATAGATGCCTCCTGTTGATGTTAGGCAAGCAGAGCAGGTCTGCCAGGATTAATTAGAAAATATGGTGATACAGAACTCCACGTACTTATGGTAGAACATGTCCACATTCCAAAACCCAATTTCGTTTGGCAAAAACAATAACAATCAAAACCCAGTTAATCCAAGTTCTATGAAAAACACAAACTACAAGTTGAAACTTTCATACCAATTTTGCTGTTCTTCAAAATTGAAAAAAAAAAAATTCCGATTCCATTTCTAGTAATTCAACTTGTTTTTGATCTCTTCTGTTGTTCTTCTTTTATGGTGGAGGTGGGGCGCCCCGGAGGGGGGGGGGGGGAGGGATTTTAGTTCTTGAAAATAGAATCAAACATATGGCAGACAGTATCAGTGTGTTCAGACTTCAAATCCATCAATGAATAAAGAAACAAACAGCCAATATCGAACCATTTCCAATTGGAAGATCCAACACAAATAAACCAGCAAAAGTGCCCAAAATGATCAAAGTAGGGAGATCAGAACCAAATCAAGAAGGAGAAGAAGAAAAGAATTTAAACTTAAAATTATTTATTCACCCAACCAATTAAAACCCAGAAAATACAGCTGTAGAATTGAAATAAATAAATCGAAACAGATCGTTTTCTTTTGCCACCAAAAATTTCAAGACTCCCCAGCAAGAACAGATGTTTGTAATACAAATAAAGCACAAACACACACACGCACATACCCACAACCAGAGAGAGAAAGAGAGAGACTTACAATTTGAGCTTTTATAGTTAGATGATTTAGAAACTGTATACAGAAATGGGTTGGGAGTGAGATCTTGGAAGAGAGAGTTTAGAAACTAGAAATGGAATCAATATGATGATCCCAAGGTGAGATATTGGGACAGTGGTTCTAGTGGCTGACGTTGGGCCCCTTTCTCCCATTTATACACAAGTTCCTCTCCCTTCCCAGCCATACCAGAATTATCAGATACCTCAAATGTAATTAGTCTTTACCCGCTTTCCGAACCCATCTCGCAAACCAAACCGTTGTTTTTTTTCATCAATCACTCTTACAATATTCGAAAACGTGACTTTAAACTCTAACAATGAACGATGAACGAAGCGGGTTTTGAAGTATGAATATTTAAATTATATTTTTTGATAAATTTTTTAATTTATCAAATTCTTATAGAACTTCTCTAATAGAAAATCTACATATATCCATTTTTTGTCGCAAAAATTTCAAAACCAATAGTGAATAGGAATAACTCGTTATTTGCAAGATATAACTTGACCCTCAATGGTAATGTTTTTTAATATGATATTGATTTTTATATTTTTTTTTGATATGATAGTTGTTATTTTTTTCTTGTTACATGGTGTCCAGATTTATATTGATTATTTTTTCGAGATTAGATATATTTCCTAGATATTTTATTATCTTTTTTAACTGATCATTTTTTATCATATTTTCTCAAAAATGTGTTTGACCCAGAAAATACCTCCCCTAAGTGTTTTTTAGCACTCCGAATCGATTTTTGATGTTATTTTCACCCAAAAACCTTCAAATTGTCAAAACCTTCGATTAGAGTTATGTTGAGGCTGGGTGGAGGGGGGGGGGGGGGGATAAAAATAAAAAATTTTATCACTAAATTTCACAAAAATAAAAAATAAAAATAAATAAAATTTGGTCCCCAAAATATTACCACTTTCGATTAATATTTTTTACTTGGTCCCCAATTTAAAAATATCTGGTTCTGTCGCGACATATTTTTCAGTTGTGAATGCATATTGCTTGGATTGCTCCATTTCAACAAGGCATATATTTTCTGAAGGGTGACAATACATGGACAGAGAATCAATCAAATTTTACAGAATATATATATGTGACTTGAAATAAACGTAAGTGAAAAGGGATACTCAAATTAAGAGTAGAGCCCCGTATATATATCCAAAAATAATACAGAGTAACTTAAACATCCTTGTAGTTTAGGTAAAATATAAAAATCTTAGTAAGGGTAAAAAAGGGAAAAGAAATCCTAATAAACCTAGACTATCTATACTCCAACACTCCCCCTCAAGTTAGGCGCAAAAATGTCAACTAAGCCAAGCTTGACAACAGAGTCCTGAAGAATAGACAGAGTGACAGGTTTGGTAAAAACATCCGCAACTTGATCACTGGTCCCCACAAACGATGGAGTAACAAGACCACTGCTGACCTTCTCCCAAAGAAAGTGAACATCGATCTCTATATGCTTCGTTCTCTCATGTAGTACAGAGTCAGAAGTGAGCTGAATAGCAGATTGATTATCACAATATAATGTGGATGGAGAGGTCACTGAAAAACCCAACTCGTCAAGAATCGATCGTAGCCAGATAATCTCACATGTGCCAAGTGCCAATGCCCGATACTCTGCCTCTGCGGACGAGCGGGAGACAACTGCCTGCTTCTTGCTCTTCCAAGAGATAAGATGAGTCCCTCGAAAAGCACAGAAACCCGTAGTAGATCGACCATCACATGTTCCCCCATAATCTGAATCTGAATAACAGGCTAGAGAACCGGTCTGAGATCCTGATGCATAAAACAACTCAAGTCCAGGACAAGACTTGAGGTACCGAAGAATATGATAAACTGCATCAAGATGAGGCTGATATGGCCTATGCATGAACTGACTAACTCGGCTGACTGCGAATGAAATGTCCGGCCTAGTATTGGCTAAGTAGATAAGTCTACATACCAATCTTTGATAAACTGTCGGATCTTTCAACTCCTTACCTTCAGCAGTAAGCTTCAGGTTTGGAATCATAGGTGATAATGCCGATTTGCACCCCAACATCTCAGTGTCTGAAAGAAGATCCAAAACATACTTTCTCTGAAAAAGAACAATACCTCTGCTTCTACGGGCAACCTCAATCCCAAGAAAGTATCGCAGAAATCCAAGATTCTTCACATCGAAGGCCTTCCCAAGGTCTATCTTGACCTGCGCAGTCCCAAAAATATCATCACCAGTAATAATAATATCATCAACATATACCAGAAGGATGACACACTGTCCAGAAGTATTCCGTCGAATAAAGCAGGTATGATCAGAATGACACCTGGTGAACCCCAATCGTATGACTACATCACTGAAGCGAGAGAACCAGGCTCGTGGCGACTGTTTCAGTCCATAAAGAGACTTACGCAGTCGACATACCTTTCCAGCATACTCCCCCTCACCACGAAAGCCCGGTGGTGCATCCATATAAATAATCTCGTCCAGATCACCGTGAAGAAACGCATTCTTCACATCTAATTGATGAAGAGGCCAAGAGTACTCCGCAGCCAGAGAAATAATTAATCGAACAGTAGTCAATTTTGCCACGGGGGCAAATGTAGCACCAAAATCACGACCTGGTACCTGAGTAAAGCCCTTTGCCACAAGTCTAGCCTTGTAACGATCAATAGTACCATCTGCCAGAAACTTCAGGGTGTAAACCCAGCGACAGCCAACAGGCTTCACCCCTGAAGGTAAGGAGACAAGATCCCATGTATGATTACGCTGAAGAGCGTCCATCTCTGTCTGCATGGCAAGAACCCACTGGGGCTCCCGCATAGCTTCCGAAATAGAGCGAGGAACCAGCGTATCTGATAAGGCCATAGTATAAACTCGAAATGTGGGAGACAGATTACCATAAGAAACATAAGCAGAGATCGGATATAAAATCTTGGCGGTCCAACCATATCGATCAACTGGACGACGATCACGCCTTGGATAACGACGCCCTAAATCACCATCCTCTACTGATAATATTTTATCAGGTAAAGTAACTGGCTCAGCACCTGTAATCTCATCAGTACTAACAACAGGTGCATCAATATGCTCAACAAACTGAGAAGTATTACCTGCATCGCCTGAGGTAGAGGGGATATCAGCAGGGTGATGAGAGCGAGGACAACGAGCATACACCTGCAAAGGAAGAGAGACTGGTAACTCTGTACTGACAGGGATGAGTGACTCCTTTGGAGGAAAAACGGATGACCCTGTAGGGATAGTGATCAATGACTCTGACTCTTGTGGTAATGGAAAATCAAAGGGAGTATCATCAACTGGAGGGGCAGACAAAGGACTGAAAGGAAAATAAGGAATATGCTCAAGAAAGGTAACATCTAGACTGTGATACATACGACGCCTAATAGGATCATAACATCGATACCCCTTAGATTGATGACAATAGCCCACAAAGATACAACGAATCGCTTTATCATCAAGTTTATGACGAGTAGGAGACCGATCCTGAACAAAACATGTGCATCCAAAAACACGAGGGGGGACCGGAAAAAGTGTCCGCTCAGGAAATAAGACCTGTAAGGGAGCCTTATGCTGAAGAACACGACTCGGCGTACGATTGCACAGAAAGGTAGAAGTCAAAACAACAAAATGCCAATAAGATTTTGGTACCCTCATGCCTCTAAGCAGACAACGTACCATCCCTATCAAACTCCTATTTTTCCTCTCAGCAACACCATTTTGCTCAGGAGTATATGGACAAGTGAGTTGCTGAAGGATACCCTGAGAAGAAAGGTGAGACACTAAAGCATCAGACACATATTCTTTGGCATTATCCGAACGAAGAGCACGAACAATGACATCGAATTGTGTCTTAATCATCTGTAAAAACTGAGTGATTATAGGGAGCACATCAGACTTCCTATGCAAAAGGTAGACCCAAGTACAACGGGTATGATCATCTATAAATGTCACATAATATCTGGCACCTGACAGAGCAGTAACGGGAGAGGGTCCCCAAATATCAGAGTGTATTAGGTCAAATGGCTTGGGTGACTGGTGCATGCGAGGAATATAATTGGCCCTAACATGTTTTGATAGGGAACAGATAACGCAATCAAGTTTACCACCAACACAAGCATTACTCAAAGCAGGAAACAACATACATAAATATTTAAAATTTGTATGTCCAAAACGGTCATGCCACAATTGAACAGTTTGTGACGAAAAATCATAACGACAACTACTAGGTAAAATACTAGCATGCAAGCTAGGAACAGAAAAAGACAAAGCAGGTGCAGGTGAAGGAATTGGTGAAACTGGAGATGGATTGCCAAGATAATACAGTCCATCTTTCTCATGTCCCTTGATAATAATCCTCCTGGTACTCAGGTCCTGCAAATAACACGAATCAGATAAGAATACAACCGCACAGTGAAAATCTCTGGCTAACTGATGTACAGATAATAGATTCATGGCCAACTTTGGCGCATGAAAAACCGAATGTAATGTAAGGCCATCTGGGAGACGGACTGTACCCCTACTAACAATAGGGGCATGTGTTCCATCTGCTAACTGAACCTGTGTATGTAACGGCTCGTCAAAAGTGGTGAAGTGATGGGCCTCACCTGTCATGTGACCATTCGCACCCGAGTCCAACATCCAAAGGGGAGATGAACTGGCACAAGCGTGAAAGGCACGAGATATACCTGTAGTGGTGACAGCAGCAGTAGTCAGACTCTGAGAAGTCAGAGCAGACATAAGTATATCTAATCGGGAAGTGATAGCATCCATATCACTTTGCCAAGGAGGAGCAGTAGCAGGAGTGGCGGTAGTGGGCGGTGGTACCTCAGCAATAGCAACAGTACAGCTGCGAGAAGGTGGCTTAAGCTCTGGATGGAGCTTCCAGCAAGTAGCCCTGAGATGTCCTGGTCGGCCACAATAATCACATTGACGGGAATCCCCCCGTCTGCGCTGATCTGGGGCGCCCTGACGGCGCTGGTCTGAGCGTTGCCCATCCCTGACTAAGGATCCTGAATGGGACCCTACAGCAGCTGCAAGGGCCATCTGGTCAATCGAAGGAGTCAAAGCTGCAACTGGAAGTGATGCAATACGGACTCGACGCTCATGCTGCTCAATCATCCCATACACCTCATAAAGAGAAGGAAGTGTCAACATCGACAAGATCTGAGAACGAGGTCCCTCAAACTCATCACGAAGCCCCATAAGGAACTTGTGAATCCTATCCTCCTGCTCTCGAGTATGCAAGAATGCTGCTCCCTCGGGCTCTATCTTCGGAATAGCAGCAAGAGGACGTAGAGACTCATACTCAAGCCAGCGCTGGGTCAAATAGCCATAATAATCCTGAACGGTCATATCTCCCTGCCGAGCATATGAGAGCTCCTAAGAAAGCTCATAAACATAAACTCCTCGTCCTGACTGAGAATACATCTCTGATAATGCGCTTCATAGCTTCGGAACAGAGCTATGAAACTGGTGGATCCTGCAAACAGAGGGCTCCATTGAGCCAAATAACCATCCAAGAATGGCACAATTTTCAGAGAACCACGCAGAATATCCAGGGTCGGCATCAGCTGGCTTTGGGTGAGATCCAGTCAGCCAACCAAGCTTCCCTACACGGCCTAAGAAAAGCTGGAATGAGCGTGACCACTCAGCGAAGTTACGACCATTCAACAATTGTGCCGTAACTTTTTGAGAGATCATGCCCGGTAATGCTGGTAATGCAACTGTGCTAGTAGGCACTGTATACTGGTCAAGCATAAAAGTGGAAGTACCCATAGATGTCTCAACGGTAGAGGTGTCAACAGTAGGATTCTCAAGTCCCTCAGTAGTAGTCATATCAACAACAATACTAGGGCACCCGTGACAGAAAAATAACTCTAAGATAAATAGAGGAATAAAATAAGGGAGAACAATATACCTTCAGTCGAACAGTAGCGACAAATAAGGAAGGTCCAAAAAGCTCCCAAATAATCAAGTAACGGTGCCCAGAAATCCAATAAATATAAATGATCTACTGCATCAAGAGCAGATCAACAGACGGAGAAGAAGATTTAACCCCTCATAAAAAAAAAAAAAATTCTAGAGACTGCAACCTGGTAGCACTATGACAAAGAGTGCAAAGGATGAAGTTAAAACGAGAAACACGACCTGGCAGTGGGCTGAGCAGTGACCCAACAGTAGGCTAGGTGGTTGGGCGTCGTGTTTATTGGGCAGTGGGTTGGGTTACTGGGCTGGTCTAGTTTGGGACTATATTGGGTTGGGCAGTGGGTTTGGGACTATATTGGTTATCAGTGGACTGGTTTGATGTGTGGGCTATGTTGGCTGTCGGTGTGGTTATTGAGGGCAGTCGGTTGGAGGCAGTCGGTGGGGTTATTGAAGGCAGTCGGTTGGAGGCAGTCGGTGGTTGGGCTATATTGGTTGGGCTATTGGAGTTTCGCTGGGCAGCAGTTTGTCGATGTTTCTGGTTTTGGTTTTGGTTTCAGTCGGTGCTTTATGGGCAGTCACGCATGTTGCTGGGCAGGCTGTGGTTTCAGTCGGTGCAACTGGTTTTGGTTTTGGTTTCAGTCGGTTTCAGTCGGTGCTTTTGGTTTCAGTCGGTGCTTTATGGGCAGGCTGTGGGTTGCTAGGCAGTAAAGGTGTTGCTGGTTTTGCTTGAAGGCAGTTTGCCGGTGAGGCAATCTCGGTGGAGGCTAGGTTAGGGAGAAGGTTAGGGTTTGAGGTAGGGTTAGTGTATGGCTCTGATACCAACTTGGAATAAACATAAGTGAAAAGGGATACTCAAATTAAGAGTAGAGCCCCGTATATATATCCAAAAATAATACAGAGTGACTTAAACATCCTTGTAGTTTAGGCAAAATATAAAAATCTTAGTAAGGGTAAAAAAGGGAAAAAAAATCCTAATAAACCTAGACTATCTATACTCCAACAATGTGAAAGTGATATTTTGTAGGGCTGTGAACTATAATCCTTCGATATCAACTCGACACGATACAATTTTAAAATTGATACGATTATTAAATACTCTATCCGTTCTTAAATATTTATCATTTTACCTATTTTTTTTTTGTTCCACAATATCTGTCATTTTATAAAATCAAAACATAATTAATATTTTTTCTTCCAAATTTACCCTTATCTTTGTTTTTCAATAAGTGCTTAATAAATTAAGTGTAGGCTAAATGTCTTTCATATTCATTTCATCCCGAACTATCACCAAGTTAAATGGTTTGACAGCTATAAACAACACAACAGTCATCCCACATCGGTAGGCTATCAGAAACAGGAATGACTTAACAGCTATAAATACCACGGCTTACTGGTGTGTCGTAAAGCAAGCAAAGATTGAGCTTCAACATTGGTGCAATGGTGCAATAAAAAGTTTGGTTGGGGCCTCGGTCCAACTAAATAGTTAGGCTTTTTTTTTAATGTATTGGTGGAGTTAATTCTAAAAAAGTGCAATTTGTGGATTATGATTACAGAATTCGTAGATTTATTATTTTGAATTCGTGGAAGAAGGCTGAAAACAGCAAATCTTAAAAAAGGCTTAAAGTCAAAAGATGTCGTAAGTCATATTGGAGTTCAGACTGAAAATATCAACCTACAAATTACGACAGTGAAGCTTGATAATTGTCGGGTCACAGTCGACTACATTGTTTGTTAGGAGTAAGGGAAAGATGGATTACTTGACTGGAAAAACTGAAGAACAGAAGATTGGTGATCCATTTTATGATAAGTGGGAGGTTGAGAACTCAATGGTTATACCTTGACTATTACAGTCTATGCAACTAGAGATTAATAATGGTTATTTGTTTCTACATACTGCAAAGGAGATTTTGGAGGCAATATCACAAACCTACTCGAAGATGGGCAACATGTCGGATTCACAATACTAGCAGAAGAATTCCTCTTTAGCATCTTATTTTCATACCTTGAGAGGGTTATGGTCTAGATCACATGATTCGTCCATCAACCCCAACAAACTCACGTTCCGAATGCCAATTCACGAATTCAGAGAGAATTCAGCACAACTCTACAAATGCAAAATAATAAATCCGAAAATTCCAAGCAAATCCCTCAAAAAAAGGCAAAAATCGTAGATCTTAAAAAAATGACGTATTTTTTCAAAAAAAAAAATCAAATGATGTACCAATTAAGTTCAAAAAAATTCATAGAAATTATAGATGAACTCTATTCATCAAGCTGACCAAGGTATTGACTTTTTATTATTGTTTTTTTTTTTGCTGATAGACATGAAAAAAAATCCGAAAAAAAATAGAAACTTTTTTCCGACAAACAAAAAAAAAATGGTTTTGTTCTGCATATAGATGAATATGAATCACGAAACCCACTCTGACACCATATTGAAGTAATGTAAAGAGAGAAAAAATAGAGAAAAAAGAAAGATAACGGAAAAAGATGAGAGATTTCAGGTTCTCTCCCTCCATCACTTATATTTATCGTTCAAATATTGAACTGGAAAAAACACTTTTTGTAATAGTAAAGATAAAAATAACATGCTAAATAGCTTCTAGCAAATTCTTCATGGCAATTGGTTTTACTCCATCCAATCTTGTATGAAAACTAAAATGTTGAACGACGTTGTTTTTATATATAGATTCATGTGTCATTTCTGCCATTTTATAGTGTTAAATTCTGACTCTAGTGACATATTATGTATTAAAACCTTCTAGCCATAAGGAAGAAGCTGAAAGAAACCTTTTTCTCTGAGTAAGGCAAGAGGTCATCCCAATTTACAGGCATGCCTGCCTAGGTTTGTTATCTCTTCTCTTTTTTGTAGCTTTTTAGTGGAAGTAATTTTAACTTCGTGTTTGAGCTTTTAGTGAATTGGGAATCATGACACAAATTCCTTTAGGTTTCACATATGAAAATGTCTTATTTCATGGTTTATGTACAGATTCTGGCATCTACAGGTCCAGCAGATAGTGAAGGCCCTGCATGGGCTCCATTGCGTGATAATTTTATGTTAACGAATTCTAAGCTAAAGGACTGGGATAAGATGCCGGTAATTGTTTTCCTTTCATATCATCTTCCCCACAACACCCCCCTCCCCCCCCCCCCCCCAAAAAAAAAAAAAAAAAAAAAAAACTAACCAAAAACAAAATGGTGGGTTATTAGTATCTTCAATTACAATAAAATAGTCAGCAATGTGTATGTAGGATACGATAGTAGCAGATGACTTTGGGATGCCATCAGATAGTTCATCCGATGATGATTAATATCATGGAACACCACCAAGAGTTCCAGGAGCTCAAGTTAACCACAAGGGTTTGTCGGTCTACAAAATCGAAGCTCAGGTGCTTTGTCATTTCTATTCAGAGAGTCCTTTTTTTTCAGCCCAATCATTGTATTGTTTAAAATCTCCAGAAACGGGTTTGCAGCAATGTGCATTTCTAATTGGACTTGAACATAATTAGACAGAGGTAGCCCGGTTGTCCTCCAAGGGTCTCTCTCTCTCTCTCTCTCTCTCCATGTTGTGAATTTTCTCCGGATCAGGAAAAAAGGGTAGACAATTATAGATGAGATTGATGATTCACAAATTGGTTTTTAGCAACACCCGTCAAATAATTAATGTAGTAAACGAATAAGAAGAAAGTTAACACAATAGAAGCACAGATATAGAGTGGTTCGAGTAATGTGACTTACTCCACTATGAAGGGCTAGGATGGTCTTGGTGTTTTATTACTTCAGGGAGAGTGTTGTGTGCTGAGGTGAGAGCTACAGGTACAACTCAAGAATGTGATAGAAAGATAACAGTGATCAATGCCCCCCATGTATTGGCGGAGCTTACAATTTATAGTGTCTTTTAATATACTGAGACGCCTTTTCAGTAACTAAGTAGCTAATTTAGTAGAGTTGGCGTCTTCCTCGCAACAGTTGAGATAGTTACAGAGCTTTCCTCAAGACTAGGTCTAAGGATGACGTGGTTGACTTCTCCACTTTTAACCCTAAGTGGCATGGATGAGGTTGACAAAACATGGATCTCTTTTGGGCTGGGGACCATCGGATTTTGTCTAGGCAGATCCTTTATTCAAGTTGGGCCATGGGCTGGGCCCGTCATTTGCCCCCAATGTCTTGAGTCCAATAAAACTTAGAGAAAAAGGCATTTAGCCAATCTTGGACTTTAATCGATGAAGACCCCCCTGACTGATGACTTTTTTTTTTATTTAGATATAGCTTATCTCTGTAGGACATCTCTTGCTATGTAAACTCCCCCCATTTTATCTCCCATTAGGACTTTAAAGACCCTAGGCTATAAATTGGGGGTTTTCCTTTTCTATTCATTCCATACAACATGAGAGAGGGTTTCTTTGTGAGACATCCAAGAACAAAGGAAAGAGGTAATATGAGTAAGGCTTGTGATCCCATTCCTAAGTTGAGTGCTCAGAGATTGACGTCAAATGAAAAAGAAAAGATGCGAGATGGAGCAATCGATGTTGATGCAAGGGCTCATGAGCATTTTGGCGGAACAGGGGACTAGTCGGTGTTGGAGAGGTAGGGATCCAGACAGGTGTCGTTGAGGCTGGAGCCCAAGGCGTTATTGGCGAGGCTGGGGCCACTGTGAGCATCGAGGGTGAAGAGGATACCAACGCCGAGGGTGAGGTGCCAGGGGCACTATTAGGTGAGGCGCCATGGTCGTCGTTGGCTGGTGGGCGTGTTGATCGCAGAAAAGGCGTCACTGTGCGCTAGGCTCGGCCAGACGCGCTGGTGGCGTCAGCTAAGGGCAAACGGGCGGTGCTGGTAGGGTCCTCGATGCTGGACAAGTCGGACGTGACAGTGGATGTTAGGCATGGAGCTACAGAGGTTGGTACACTGGGGAATGCTGGTATTTTTGGCGGCGATTGCAGGCAAGTGGTGGATGGTATGGTTCGTCTAGGCGGTATCCCTCAGACCCTGACTTCTCAAGGCTCTCCTGATATTGGTTCAAGTAGTGTCTCTTTTCGTCCTCATAACAGATACCGAGGAAAAGTCACTCTTGATGACAATGGATCCAAAGTAAGTACCATTCTAGTACTCTTAACATTGATGCTAATATTCTGCGGATTATTTCTACTTAAGGTATTCATCCTGTGGTCTTGTGCCATTGAGCTGAAATGGGTGAGCCTGCTTGTAACGGCTCCTCTAGAGGCATTGTTATTTATAAGGAGGTGCTTGAGGTTGGGCTGAGATTTCCCATGCCTTCCTCTATTTGTCGCATTCTTCATTGTTTTTCCCTTGCGCTAGGGCGTTTGGTGCCCAATGGTTAGAGAGTTCTGTTGGAATTTCTTGCATTGTGGAGGAAGGTGCATCATGAGGATGCTTCTCTTGAAGAGTTTTGTGCGGCCTATACTTTGAGTGAGACTTCTGCTCCTAATCGTGGCTGGTACTACTTCACTCTAAGGGGAGGAAAGTTGATTATTGGATTGCGCTCTAATTGTCATAGTTGAAAAACTTGTTTTCTGTTTGTTGAAGAAAAGTGGGCTTCAAAAACTGACAGGGATTTGGTACCAGCGAGTTGGGACATTCCCAAGAAAATCGCTATGCCCACTCCCAGTCTTTTTCCTTCGCCTTTTTTACGAATGTGTGCTCATCACATTTCTTCCAGGTTCCTCAGTGCTCTCAAAAGACCAAGAATGAAAACTGTAAGTTGTGAAGGCCCATCCTGTAAAGGACTTCGGAACCCTCATGCTTAAAGAAGATGAGGCTAGAGACCTCCCTCTAGAAGTGCTAGGGTTGATGCACCCTTTTCCAAGGCTTGGTGGCTCTTCCCTGAAGAGAAAATGTATGTTGATTCCCTTAAAGAAGATGAGGTTGGAGACCCTCTCTCTAGAAATGCTAGGGTCAGTGCACGCTCTTCCAGGGCCTGGTGGCTCTTCCCTAAAGAGAAAATGTATGTTGATTCCCTTAGGATTCTCTTTCTTTACTTAGTTTTTCTTCAAGGTAACACCTTATCCCTCTGCAATGGTGGAGTCCTATTATTCCACTAGGAAGACTCCTCTTAAGATGGCTAGGGTGAGTGATACTCTGGCGATACCTTCTCAAATGACCCCTCCAGTGGCACCTTCCCAGTCGGCGACTCCTTCAGAGGTTCCTATGGTGGCCTCCCCTTCAAAGACTCCCCAAGCGACCACACCTCTTGTCCCCCATTCACCAAACCCTTATACAGGGACTTCTACAGGGGCAGGCTCTTAAACCGTCTTCATGCTGGATGATGTGCGGATTCTCGGGGAACAACTTAGAAGATTCATGTTCCCTGTAGAGATTGGGCAGGTTGGTGCTCGGGGCACCAAGGGCATTATTGACACTGCCTTGGAAGGCTTGACATAGGTAAGGTTCTGTTCTCTTCCTTGCCTTTGTCCTTTCTTTAGGCGCTACCCTTTCCTTATCTTTTTTCAGGTTTCAGTCGCGTCTGTATGCTTTTTTTCAAGGGCTATTCAGTTTAACAATCTGAGCTCGACCGTTAGGGAGGAGAGACTTGCTTATGAAGCTATGAAAGGGGAGCTACTGTAGCTCAAGAGAGGATTGTTAAGCTCAAGGTTGATGGTGAGGCTTTCCAGACTGAGTTTGTGGAGACCAGTGAGATGGCTCAATGAGGCTGTTTGCACGAGAGCTAAAGTAGAGCTTGTGGCAACCCACGAGAGGGCCGCTAAGCTTGAGGCTGATGGTGAGATTGCCCACTCAAGAGCAAAAACAGAGTTTAAGGCAGCTTGCGAGAGGGTTTCTCGAGCGGAGGCGAATCTGCAAATGGCTCATAAGAGGGTCGCCAAGGCCAAGGCTAATTCAGAGAGTGATCTTGCAGATGCCTTCATTGACGGCTATAAAGAGCTCCAGGAAAAGATTTTTGATGCTTTCCTTGACATTGACTTTTTGGGTTTTGCCCCATATGAGGCGCCATCAGACAATGATGTTGATGGTGATGACAATGACTATGATGGTGCAGAGGACGAGGTCGATGAGGGCGACAGCAGTGAGAGCAGTCAGAGTGCTAAGGATTCTTGATTTTTTTTATTTTGTGTTTTGGGTTGGTAGATAGGCAATGTGTTGCCTTGCTTTTGTAAAAAGTGGTTTTTTGACACTGATGTTTATTTAAAATAGAATGCAAGGGATATTTTAGAGTAAACTCAAAATTTTATATCATAGTTGCTCATAACAAACAATGGTGGGTCATAATCCCAAAAAAGGTACAAGTTTTTTGAATAAAAAGGAAAAATAAAATAAAATCAAGCCCTTCAGCTTTATTACTTCTACCAACCTCAAGTGTTATTCATAGTACTTCTTGAGATATTCAACATTACATGGATGAGGTAAGATTTTTTCCTCAAAATTCTGGATTCTATAGGTGTCTGGCCTCATTATCTCTGTCACGACGTAAGGCCCTTCCCAATTTGGTCCAAGCTTATCTTATCGTGAATCCTTTGTGGCGAATATTACTTTCTTAAGAACTAGGCCTCCTAGTAGGAAGGAGCAAGACTTCACCCTTGAGCTGTAGTATCTCGTCATGCGACGCTTGTATTCTGCATTCCGGACCATAGCCATCTCTCTTTCCTCCACCAAGTCGGGGTTGATGCAAAGTCCTTCCTTGTTAGTGATGGGATTGTGGTGTTGGACCCTTAGAGAATGTATCTCAATCTTCACAGGTATGACTATTTCAATTCTAATGGCGAGTGAGAAAGGAGTTTCTCTAGTCTGGGCCCTTGGCATTGTTCAATAGGCCCACAATACACCCAGGAGCTCCTCTATCTAGAGTCTCTTCGCTCTTTCCAACCTCGTCTTCAAATTGCGTAATATTGTCCTTACTGTGACCTCTGCCTGCCCATTTGCCTACAAGTGTGCGAGGCAAGAATGAGGCTACTTTATTTGGAGGTCGGCACAAAAAAGAGTTTAGGAGCTTATTATCAAACTGCTTAGCGTTGTCACTAACTATAACGTGGGGCACTCCAAAGTGACATACTAGGTTTTTCCAGATAAAATTCTTGACCTTTACATCTATTATCTTGGCTAAGGGTTCAGCATCTGTCCATTTTGTGAAGTAGTCTGTAGATACTACCATAAATTTACACTACCCTCGGCTCATAAGTAGAGGGCCCAAGATGTCGATGCCCTATTTGGAGAAGGGCCAGGGACTTGTGATTGTTGTTAACTCCTCTAGTGGTCTAAGACAGTGGTGAAGCGTTGGCACTTGTCATATTTCTTGGTGAATTCCCGAGCACCCTTAACCCTGCTAGGCCAAAAAAAAAACCTTGTCTGATGGTCTTATGGGCTAAGGAGCATCCTCCAAAATGGTTTTTAGAGACCCTCTCATGGATTTCCCGTATGGCGTTGTTAGCTTCCTCTAGGGAGAGGCAACAGAGTAGTGGTAGGGTATAATTCTTTTTATACATGATGCCCTGTAGGATGATGAATTTAGAGGCTTTCATTCTAACCTTTTTGGCTTCCAATGGGTTGTCTGGCAGTGTGCCTTCCTGAAGGTATGCCTTGATGGGGGTCATCCAGTTGAACTCATAAAATATGCAGTTGACATGTGTGGCCTCTACTCCCAATCTGCTTGTTTCAAATTGGTGACCAGTTAATGCTGATCCTGGTGGGGTATCTGAAGATGAGGCAAGTCTGGCCAGTTCATCTGCTACGGAGTTGTCTTCCCTTGGAATATGATGAATTTAAAAATGGTGGAACTTGGTTAGTAAGGCTTGCGCCATTACCAAGTATTCTTGCATCCTGGCCTTTTTTGCTTTAAACTCCCCCTTCACTTGGTTGACTATCAGTTGAGAGTCACTGTAGGTGATGAGGTATCGTACTTCCATTTCAACTGCCAACCTTAGGTCGAAGAGGAGGGTTTCGCATTCTGCTTCATTGTTGGAGGCTGCAAAATGAAGCTTTACGGCATATTTGATTGGAGTGCCTTCGGGGCTAATCAACATTAGGCCTGTTCCATTTCCTTTGCTGGTTGAAGAGTTATCCATATAAAATTTACAGCACATTGACTCTATAATGCAGGGGGATGGTAGAATGGGAGCCTCGGAGGACATGGTGGACACTAAGGCAGGGCGCTAGTTTGTCCTGGGCGCTAGGGCTAGATTCCTGGGTGGCAAAGGCGCTTGCCTAGGGCGCCTGGGTGTTTGGTGGGACTCTTGATGAGACTTTTTACATGTCTAGTGGAGATGCTGAAGGTCCACAACACTCTTCCTCCAGTGGTGTGAGCTCGGCAACGAAATCTGTCAAGGCTTGTGCTTTGATGGTTGCCCTCGGCTGGTATTGCACATCGAATTCATCTAGCTCTACTACCCATTTAAGGAGTCTTCCAAAAATATCTGGCTTTCCTAGAATCCTTTTGAGAGGCTGATCCGTGACAATGATGATTGTATGACTCTGGAAATAGTGTCGAAGTCGCCTGGCTATTGAGATTTGGGCGAGTTCTAGCTTTTCTAGCCCTGAATACATTACCTCTGCTCCCTGGTATGCCCTGCTTACGTAGTAGACAGGTCTTTGTACTCCTTCATTTTTCTAATGAGGACTAAGCTTACTGTAGATGAAGAGGCGGAGAGGTATAAGTATAAATATTCTCCTAGAATGGCATGGGAAAGGAGATGGGGCGCAGTTAGATAGACTTTAATTTTTGGAAGGCTTCCTCTACATCAAGCACCCACTCAAAGGCTTTTCGAATAATTCTAAAGAAGGACAAGCACTTGTCTCCAGACTTGGTGACAAATCTA